TTTTTTTTTTTTTTTTTTTTTTTTTCCTCATTGAAAGTATTTTCATACTCAAAACTCAACAAACTGAGGAGGTTAAGGTTATTGTTTCATTGATCAGCAGCCTGTTTTCTTCCACCGTCTTTCAATCTATATAAAGATTGAGGTTGCATGTACTGTACTTGGAGGGCACACAGTACTTCGAGTACCAAATTTGCATAATACGACTACTTTGGGCATCTGACGTAAAGAACTTCGGAATGCTGGCCAACAACTGTATTCATCCGAATACTGTGCATTTCCCAATGACGAACATCCACCTACCTCTCAGAATTCTCATATATTTTCAGATCCGCTGATTTGTTATCATCGCATTATCTCCTCCAACTTCAATTATCACTGTTGCTCAAACAATGTCCCCAAGTCACTTCGATCAGCCGGGGAAGTTTGAGTCCGTACCTCTCCCGACAGAGAGGCCCGAAGTCGGTGAGGCTCCCCACTCACAAACTCGCCAGCAGAGCCCTCTGGAGCCAGACTTATCGCATCACCTATATTTTGAAGATAATGATGGCTTCTTTCCTCCAAGTTGGCTGGGGCAGAAGCCTCCTGTCCAAGGCCGAAGTCGTCCGTCGACCGCAGAAACCGAAACGACAGCGCGATCCCACTAGACGCTGGATTGGGTTCATGAGGGCTTACAACCTGCCCCTCTCTCTCTCTCTCTCTCTATTCTACCGAAGCAGATCTGGTTGGACGTAACAATGGCGCTCTTTGGAGTTTCACTGCATTTGTTTTTTCTGGCTGGACAATTTTCTGCTGGTGCTTTACTGAGGCCATCGAGTTGTCAAATTTACCATGATTCACCTCCTCTCCGGCCTTGATAAATGAGATGTTCTCTGCAAGTAGCACGGTTAGAATGAGCCTTGAAGACCGTACTACTCCGTACAGTATGTACATACAGCACATTGTCGTCATGTGATCGCAGCAAATGGGCGCCTCGGGCAGTGACGTTATGTCCTGACCGTATGTCTTGGTTCTGTAATCATTTTATTCACAACAGACAGTAAAAAGTCTAAAGTTAGGCTACGCTACGTATTGTTCTCCGTGCTCCGTGACTTGAAATTGTTGTAAACTGGCGTCCCCCACCCCATCTTTCTCTCTCCAACAAGTTCCCGCACACTTCTCGCACCCCGCCAGATCATACCAATTTGACAATGACCTACCTACCCTCTCCTCTTTTCCTTTGATGCAATCCTGGAGCCATCATTATTTCGGAGGCTGGCATTGGAAATCCTTTGGTTGACATTTGTTAGCTACATATAATTGATGGAAGCCTCATGGGTCAAGGAATTTTGCTGTGGGGTTTTCTGAGCCCTCCCTTTGGTCCCTCCGCGCTTGTCTGTTGTCCATCTCCGGGCTAGAAGTAAGGGCCTTATTATCTGCCCGCCATTGTGGGGAGCCAAAATGGAGTCGACCGTGCTGGAGATATCCTTCTTGCTCTATGATTTGCTTTTTTGCGTGTCTCTTGACATACCTGCCGAGGTAGGCCAGCCAATTCAGCAGGCAACTGTAATAAATCATGGTGATTACGATCATGATACCGTCTCACGCCCGCTGCTAGTGGCTTGCTACATATACGACGGTCTCCCTTCGTCCGCTGCTTTCTTAGCCCTTGGTCTCCTCTCCGGAGTTTCTTTCTGCATTTTTTTCATGCAGCGCCTTCTGCCTTCTGTCGATCCTTGGTCTTCGCCCATCCGAATGAACCAGAATTGCAGTTTTGGGTTAAGGCCATATACACGCTTCGCAGATGACCATTGCGACTGTTATCCATGAGGGGCGATCCCCGACGATAGATTGTCCTGATAGCAAGCATGCTGCCAGTCACCAAGAACCCCATGAAAAGGGTGGGGTTGTCAATGGCAGTGAAGAGTCTGCTGTCTGTTCAAACACATTCGCCTCCGACCATACACATCGCAAGCTTAAGCCCAGGCACATACAACTTATTGGCATCGGCGGTACAATTGGCACAGCACTATATGTGCAGATTGGTAAAGGCTTGATGCATGGCGGCCCTGGCAGCCTGTTCCTGGCCTTTTTGATTTGGTTAGTTTCCCAATACTGCCCCCGATTTGTCTGCATACTACCCTTCCTCCCCTCCCCTACTGTTACCCTCTTCCATCTCAAACCGGCAAATATTGTCCCAGAGAGCTTGCCTCAATGAGTGAGTCAACTGTCACTGCAAATCGGCCAATGCATCCACTGGTTGAATGACGCATTGAGACCTGCTGGTCAACTTGAACGAGCTGTCTTTACAACCCCCGTGGAAACTTAAGTAGGATATGCCTGCTGCACATATTTGATCTGGCTGTGAAATAGCACGGCTTTGCATATGGCCTTTGTGATCAAATGCCTCTTTTCACCGTACGTGGAATGCCAAATCTTATATGCTCTTGGAATAGGTCCCTAGTCATCCTCTGTATAACAGTCTGTAAGAGGCCCTATTGTTCAATCCTGTTGGCTTCTCCCCTCGCGGTCCAAAATCATATTTCCGGTTCTACCTCTCTGCCAACAAATGCACCTCGAGCCTTGCACTATTTCGAGATTGAGAACCTTTGAAAGCATGAATACGCCTGCGTTTCTGCCGATCATCAGTCCCTAGGCACCCTGTATCCGTTTCACCTGGTATGACCGTCGCTGAACAAATTCTTGTGCTAGGCCTGGCAGAAATGGTTACCTACTTGCCCATCTCATCACCTTTCATTAGATTCGCTGGTCGATATGTCGACGAAGCCTTCGGCGTGGCTGCTGGCTACAACTTCTTCATATTCGAAGCCGTTATGGTTCCGTTCGAAGTTACGGCATGTAATATGATCATCAACTACTGGAGTGATGTAGTCCCAGTTGCCGGGATTGTTATCATTGTACTGGCACTCTACGTGTGCGTGGCCTCTCCTGCATTTTGATGAACCGTTGGACCGCACTTTTCTAACCAGATCTGAACCTGTTGACTCTTTAGTCTTTTGAATCTCTTTGCCGTCGAATGGTATGGCGAGTCTGAGTTCTGGCTTTCTCTCAGCAAAGTCTTACTCAGCGTGGGGTTGATATTCTTCACATTTATTGTGATGGTTGGAGGCAATCCTCTCGGCGACCGGTTCGGCTTCCGGTACTGGAGGAATCCTGGAGCCTTCGCAGAATATTACAAACCTGGCGATCTTGGGCGATGGCTTGGGTTCTTGGCTTGTTTGATTCAGGCCAGCTTCACCATTGCCGGACCAGATTACGTCTCAATGGCTGCCGGGGAGGCAGTCAATCCTCGTGGAGTTTTACCGAAGGCTTACAACGGCATATTTCTTCGGCTCACGGCATTCTTTGTTTTGGGGGTGCTTTGCATCGGCATTTTGGTTCCTTATAACGACCCCGAAATGGCGGCTGCGTTTGAACAAGATTTGCCCGGCGCTGCGTCATCGCCTTATGTGATTGCAATGGATCGGTTGCAAATCCCCGTGCTGCCACACATCGTCAATGCCATGATTCTCCTTGCTTCGTTCAGCGCGGGTAACAGCTATGTTTACTGCGCCAGCCGTAGCCTTTACGGGCTTGCGCTTGATGGCAAGGCGCCACGTATCCTCACCAAGTGCACCAAGAAGGGTATACCGATCTACTGCGTGCTGGTCGTGCTTCTTATCTCTCTCCTTGCGTTCTTACAGGTTTCCAATGGCTCAGCAGTCGTACTTAACTGGTTTGTTAGTCTGGTAGGGTCCCCTCGCAGAACGTGCCATTAGCTCAAATGTTGACCAGAGTGACAGATGACAGCCTCCCAACTCATCAATTTCTCAGTCATCACCTTCACATACACTAGATTTAGAAAAGCTCTGATCGTACAGGGCGTGGCCCGGCAGACTCTACCCTACCGGAGTTGGGGCCAACCTTATGTCGCCTACATAGCTTTGGTCTCCACATTCGTCATGACCTTCGTCGGAGGATACACAGTATTCCTGCCCGGTAACTGGGACGTACCGACATTCTTGTTTTCGTACACGATGATCGCGGTGTTTCCGATCATTTATGTCGGCTATAAATTATTTTGCCGGACAAAGCTTTGGAAGCCCGAAGAGGTTGATATAATGACTGGTGTGGATGATATAGATGAGTATACGAAGAGCTATGTTGAAGTACCTTCGCGGTAAGCCCTCAACCCCCCACGAGTATGCATGACTGCCATGACGATTCATGTGAACTGACAAGACACAGTAATCCTTTCTCACGATTTGGCGATTGGCTGTTCGGCTGATCTACTTACATCGTCGGACCAAAGAGAGGTGGCAAACATGATGTGTTCTATTGCTACAGGCGGGAGATATATGATCAAGATAGTTGTGAATGTGACGCGCGGTCCGGCTATGCGTCCCTGTAAATTATTCAACCGGTGTAGAAAGCATATAACAACAGCACAAGACGTTACGATTCGCAGAATCGCCCTCCAGCAGCCGACGCGACCGAATTGTCTCTTCTCGGTGCCAGTTGTGAGACTACCTAGTTTTCCTGTCCCTGGTTCTGTTCCTTTTTGATAGCATCCATCCTCAATTTGTTCCGTTTGCCCAAGACTCTCAATGTATTTGTCCGCTCGATCTCGGTCATTTGCTCCCAGTTGGAGATTCTCGATAGTGTTCCATCCTGGTTGACGACCAACGGGCCTAGATGGTCCAGCTTCACGGATGACCCATCACCACTGACGTCGAGCTGTCGCGTCGCAGAGTCGACACTATTTGCATCTGGAAGAGCCAGGTATTCTTTCCGCTCCTGATTTTCAGAGAGGGTGGCGGTGCCCGTAGTCTGAGGCTCTTGGCAAGTGGCCGTCGACATCGTTGAGCAGAAACTGGTGTTATGGTGACGGTAAAGATGAGTAGCGAAGCAATGCGGATAACTAGGGAGATGGAACTGGAATCGTGGCGTACTGATCGCCAATGCGCGGGTGGATGTGGATGTGGTAAGAAGTGGGTTGAGGAGAATGTTGAGGAGAGAGGCACGGGTCAAAGGGCCAGACATGTGCATTATATGTCAGTTACCTAAGCTGTAGCTTTAGTAGGGTGCAAGAGAGAGAGAGAGAGAAAGGGAATCGAGTGACGTGTGACAAACAGAAAATAAAGGGATTTTTTTATCTTGTGAGGTGGAATAAGGTGGTGAGAGGGAGCTCTTGGGCGGGGCCGCGGCGAGGAGAGGATTCTAGAACTTTAGTGAGGGACAACCAACACTTGCCCTCTATAGCTTCACTACTGAGAATACAGGCTTCGAGGTGCTTCCAATGCGATCGAAAAATCTTCCCCCTGTTTGTGGTGACTCTTCTTTGTTTTTTTGTTTTCTTTTTCCCTTTCCCATAATAGAGTTGTATACTATAGACGGGGAAACGTATGATTCGATTCTACTTTTTTTTTTTTTTTTTTTTTTTACAATCTACGGACTATAGCTGCATTTGGCAGCACTTATTATCTGAACCACCAGTTGACCTGGTGAAGGATTAGTAAACTCCCTTTGGCGAACGTGACAGCATGGGATCTTACCGAAGCAGTCACACTATCCCCCAGTCCCTTGATGCTATGCCACCATCCTCGAGGTATGAACATACCGTCTCCAGCCTCTAGGTGCGCTTCGAATCCGATGGGACCACTAGATTCGGTAGCTGCATCATCCCAGACAGCCTGCTCAAGCAGCACCCTCTCCTCGCCGTGCATCATGTCATCTCCCCGAATTGCAGCAGATTCGCGGCCGGCGCTCTTCCCCAGTCGGCGTCGCACCGCGCCGAATACCCTTTGCCCTTCCGAGGGTGGTAACAATCGCACCACCTTCCGTCCGGCCAGCTGGACAAACAAATTTGGGTTCGGATCGCGGTGAAGAGGGGTATACGTAGGCGGATATCCGATCCAAATGTTTGTATCGTAGACATCGCCCTTTCCTACCTGCGCAACCAGGTCTGGGGTGGGGAGATCGTCGCGAAGGACCTGCGGCAAGTCAAGGAGCTGACACTGCGCCAGGTACAGACGCATAGTGTGCGATTCGAGAGATTCCGCAGTAGATATCCATTCGAGGAATAGGCTTAGGGGCGCATAGAACTGCCGAAAGCCATGCTCAGCCGCTCCAGTACTAGTTCTAGCAGGAGCCTGTGTCAGCTCCAAGGGAACCAGAGCATCCGCGCCATATTGACTGAGATAGGCGGTGTCCAATCGGGACGGCGAGTCGCGGAACCATTTCTCGAAGGCGGGAAGGGTTTGAAAATATCGGAGGGGGAGGATTATAGGGTGTTCAGGGACGAAGTATGCCTGACGAAAGTGGTCGGGCTTAAAATCCTCGAGGGATTCCAATGGGCGGTACTGGCGTTGCGATGCCGTCGTGGAGAAAGAGCTGAGGCACTGTTGGCTTGGTTGGTTGCAGTGAAAGTGCCTCCTCCATACCCGGAGGTTATTGTAACATGACCGTTGGGGGACCTTCATCCAGATTGGTGAGATATAACTAGTAAATCGATCTGGCAGGCAGATATTCTGGTGCGGTGTTTTCAAATTTCAGGCCAACATGGTTGGGGGGAGACTGGAAGGTCGGGGAAATTTCCGCCCCGAGCTTCTACCAGTTCCCTTCCCCAAATTGGGCCAATTCTTAACTTGGAAAGTGATAAGCTTACCGCCTTAGAGTCACTCTCTCACTCTACGTAACCGGGACCCAGTCCGACCGTTCACCCGTCTGGGGAAAACGGAAACCCCGCGCGCCCATCCACTGAGGAGAAGGAATCTATCCGCACCAGTCACTGCTTGCTTCCACGCCAACGAGCAATCGTCGCATCGTGTTTCTCACCTAAAATGGCTTCAGAGCCTCCCCAGACTGATATGGCACCACCCCAGCCGGACTCCACGGACCAGAACGAAGCCCCGGCCGCCGATGCGACGAAGAGGAAGGCGGAACAGACTAACGGAACGCATACTCGCACCAAGCGGAATCGCTACATCTCTATCGCATGGTATGATTCCGGCTCTAAAATCCACCGAGACAAAATCCCAGACCTCAGTCATTTGCGGGACTCCAATTTGCTGACACAAGGCTGGGTTCTTTCCTTTGTGTTTAGTAATGAATGCAAGCGGCGCAAGATTAAGTGCAACGGCCAGGTACCTTGCCAACGCTGCGGACACCTTAATCTCGAGTGTTAGTTGTCACCGCGAGGGCTGTGTAACTCAGAGATGACGTCGATGCAAGGGACAAGCTGAGTGATTATCCTAGGCCGATATGCCCCGAACTGCTGCAACAACAATTTCAAGGATTCCGAGTAAGTCGACTGGGCAATGATTCCCTTGATTCCGCGTCACATACACCCCCGAGGCGCCATGGCTCACCGAACATCTTACATAGAGAATTTCGTTCGATGAAAGACCAAATTAAGACTTTGCAAGATCAAGTCAATAGTCTTTTTTCCAACCTAAAGGATCTTCGGTCTCAGCGATCGTCTTTAGACCCACCGGGCTTCGATGGGTTCTCTCGAGATGGCTCCCAATCAGTCTTCACGCCAATGCATGCACCATTGGGGAAACCTCGCATGAAGCATCCGCGCTTTCAGGGCCCTACTAGCTCTGCTTTCAACTTTGATGTCGCACGTTCCAGCTTGCAGAGCATGGGCATTGCGCCAGCTGAGGAGATAACAGATGATCTCACCACAGCACATGCCACCCCTGCCGGTTCACCTCCGCATGTGGGACAGCTTGTTTCCACAATACATCCAACTAAAGACCCGATATGGGTTATCAAGAGGGATGAAGCCCTGCGACTTTGCCAGGTGTACGAGGAGGAAGTTGGAATCATGTATCCTCTCATAGATATTGAACAGGTAGCGCAACAAGTGAACTTGCTCTACACATTTGTGGAAGCTGCAACACGGACTGGCTTTGCACAGAGAGGTCTCCCCGGTGCAGATGGCCTCCATGACGATAGCACGCTTCTTTTGAAGATGATTCTCGCAATCACTTTGGTGATAGAAGGGGGCGGCCAGAGCGAGCTAGCACGGCGCCTGTACCTAAATGTCAAGCCGGTTGCTGAAGCTAAAATCTGGGATCCACTGGACATTAGGACTATTCAACTATATGGTTTAATGGTATGTCCTGTTCTGGAACCACCAAAATACGATTGTTGACCATGTGTCTAGGCAACCTTTCATTTCCATTCGGATGATGATGCCATGGCATACCGTATCGTTGGCATTGCAGCGCGTATGTGTCTTGAAATGGGCCTGCACCGACGAGATGCGCTGGCAAAATCATTTCCCAACGAAGACCAGTGGCCTACCATTGTGAAGACATTTTGGTCGGTATATAGTTTGGACAGGCGTTGGAGCTTTGGTACTGGGCTTCCCTTCATCATTCAAGATGAAGACATTGATCCCAATCTGCCCGAGCCGGTGAGCGCCGTCGTTCGATCATCGAACCAGTTACTCGTAGAGCTAACCGATCCTTAGGACGCGTCTCTACTTTATCTTAGGTGCATGATATCGTACAATCGTATCAGCTCCAAGATATGGTACTCTGGACTTGGCTCAGAAGGAGCAACTGACATACGACACGATGAGATTGGCTATTTGGACTATCAGATTCTACAATGGTATAAACAGGTTCCGGATGGGCTGAAGTTCTACCCAGTCGATGTTCCAAAGCATCACCATGGTGAGTCAACTAGCCGAGGTCTTCGAAGATTGAGGATTCTCTTATATCTACGCATGAATCAGCTTCGGATCCTCATTTACCGGCCGGTGCTGCATTCCGCGGTGAGCATCGCGGAAGACAAAGGTCACGCGCAGACCGTGGTGGACATTGCAAAAGACACGATTCGAGTGCTCACTCGGCTCAACGGGACGTCCGACATCTATCGCACGCAGCAAATCACTTTCAACTATTTTCTAGTTGCCGCCTTAGCGGTCCTCTTCCTCGCTGTATGCCATGCACCGAATGACTTCAACCGGCAAGTGCGGGACGAATTTTACATGGCTCTTGAGCTGGTCAGCGGGTTCAGTACCAAATCTTATGTATCCAAGCGACTCTGGAAGACAATCAAGGGTCTCCGCAAGATAGGCGAACGGTTGGGTGTCATTGTACGACCTTTTGGCACTGATTCCAACGACCCTCATTCTTCCGCGGCTGTCGCAATGGCCGGACTGGCTGGCCACCAGATCGAGGATCTTTCGGTGTATGGGTCGGTGAATGGCACTGGAGAGCTAGGAAACAGCCCGCTGAATGGGCTGCAGATGAGCCATGAACTTACGAATCTTTTCGAGGCGGTTGGGGGTTTTGGCAATTTCATGACTTCGGGAGGGGCGTCAGAGAGCCTTAGTGGCTTTATTGGCCAGGATGGGGAGATCCAAAACACCGGGGAAGGGTTTTCAGGTGTTCTTGGAGATGAAGGCGAATGGTCGCGTGTTATACGGAATTTATTTTAGACGTTTGAGCTGTATTCAGGATGTGGCTACAGCCTGTCTGTGGCTATCACATCGCCGATGAATGAGAGCTTTCCGAATCGTTCTTCATGCCAGACTTAGGGCCTTGATCATTCATAGTATCCATAGTAATTCGTCTGTTCGGTAGAATCCGTCGTCGAGAGGGTGGTGTAAAACTAATCACGTGATCGTGTGGGTGCAGTACATGAAAGGCTCACCTCCGATGCTTTCCCAGAGAAGGAGCAACGGTTGCCATTATATTATATCGGAACAAAACTTGATCTCATGCTGGTATGAGTGCTGGCACCAGCGGGCTTGCTTTCGTCTTGGTCTTCTCTTGCCTTCAATGAGCTGAAATTCAAGTCCCGCCTCTATCTCTCGTTCCCTCTCACCGCCCCACGAATCTAATTTCGGAAGCCCCTCGACAACCTCCGTCGATCCATCCATCCAGAACCGAGCTGGGAGTGCCTGATCCAGCCTCATCCCTAGCTTGCCACTCCTTTGGTGACTCTTGGACTTTGCTTCTGAGCCTGATCTGTGACGTTCCATGTCCATTTAAGTGATTCGCTGGTTAGTGGATGCCCCAATACACCAAACTATTATCGTCGACATCCCTCATCGCACAATAATCCGCCGGCCCGCACATTGCCAATGACCCCTCGCCTTATCAGCCAGGCAGATGATGTACGGTTTCTAATTGACCATCTCAGCAGTTTCCCTTCCACGGCCCTTTCCCACTTAGCACCTGAAACCCTGTGCTTCGTATCTTCTCCCTCTTGTTTAAGGGAGTACCGCAAGGAACACGATTAAACTTGTACCCGGCACTCGATATAGCCGGTGCAGGTTTCAGCCCGCGCTCTGTCTCGGAACGAGATTCATATCGGAAGCCTGGTTTCCCCCGTTAGCTCGGCAACGTGTCGAGAGAGACAGGTTCGGCGTTGGCCGACGGCCTAGACAGGCTGGATCTGAGTCAACTGTCTGAATCAACGCCCTCATCATCCGCGTCGGACTCGTTCGATATGTCGTCGTCGGAAGGTGCACCGGAGTCATGGATCTCCTCGTTCTGCTCCTTGATGGGCCATGAGTTCTTCGCAGAAGTTTCCGAGGATTTCATCGAAGATGACTTCAACCTCACTGGCCTTCAGTCGCAAGTGCCCATGTACAAGGAGGCGCTGGAAATGATCTTGGACGTGGAGCCGGAGGAAGACGACGAGGATGAGGAGGAAGAGGAAGAGGAAGAGGATGAAGATGAGATACTGGGCGATGACAAGCCTCCGGGCTACCGGAGAGCTGGAGAGCGCAGGCATGCACGGGTGGCAAGCGATTTGAGTGTGATTGAGAGTTCTGCCGAGCTATTGTACGGCTTGATTCATCAACGGTACATCACTTCGCGGCCTGGCATTCAACAGATGCTTGAGAAGTACGAGATGCAACATTTCGGTGTTTGTCCCAGAGTGTACTGCAATGGTTGCAGGGTCCTGCCTGTCGGTCGCTCAGATACCCCGGGGCAGGAGACAGTCAAACTGTTCTGTCCCAGCTGCCAGGACCTATACACACCTCCAAACAGTCGCTTCCACTCGGTCGATGGCGCCTTCTTCGGTACTACCTTTGGGTGCCTGTTTTTTATGACTTTCCCCGATTTGGACATCGGATCTCGGATGGACAATTCCCTGTCAGCTCTGTCTCCCACGCGTTCTTCCTCCTTGACATCTTCCTCGATCAACAACCAGGTGTCTCCAGATGTTCCCCCTCCTAACCAGCCCGTTGAGATCAACGGCATGCGCACGGTCAATTTCAGCCCCGGTCTCGGCCCGGGCCGCATTTATGAATCACGAATTTATGGATTCCGCGTTTCAGAGAGATCACGGTCAGGCCCGCGCATGAAGTGGCTGCGCATGAAACCGATTGATATCCGTGAGCTGGACGAGATGTCTCGGTACGAAGCGCTACATGGAGAGGCCGACAACGATGGCGATATGGAGATGGGTAGTGGCAACGGCACCGCTGCTCAGAACGCCGCCATCGCCAGACGGAAGAAAGCCCCAATGCGAAGGCGCCGGTACAACCCGGATCAGATGAGCATCAACGGCACAGAAGCTGGCTGAAGTACTCGTGATCATGTTTGGATGAGAACGTCGCACTTTTTCTTTCTTTTTTTTTTTCTTGGGCTACTTGTGTGAACACAACCTCCTCATGTCTCCTGGACTCCTTTGCTCTTTTGAAGGATTGAGTTTATCTCCTGTTTCTCTTTTTGCCTTTTTAAATTCACTTTCCTCATTCGACTTGTCTGTCTACCATCATCTCCTCCCAGCGAGGTTCGAATTGCACCGTAACGGAGTCAAACCGCTGCCGGCAAACACCACCTAGTCCGTTCGCTGCCATGCGTATCGGCCCAAAGCTCATATATCTACTCATGTTCAGTAATCTTGTCTCACGTTGCCTTATGCTTCGCTCCTCCTGTTGACCTGCATTCAGGCGTCGTTGAGTCAAGTTATCGTCTTTGGCATACAGATTCACGTTCACAAATACAGTACAAATACACCATGCACAAGATTATTTATGCTGCGGACAATTAGCTTGTTGATTGAATCGTAGTTGCGCAGGAGAAGTGTCTGAATTCCAGGAAAGAAGCAAATTCACCGAGCCCCAGTATTGTCTGGTGTTCCTCTGAACCAGAAGCGAGAGGATACTGCCGGGACCAGCATCACGGGGGCATTCGGACTTTCCGTAACAAGTTACAGCAGGTATGTTAGTACAGTATATTGGGGAATTGGGGGGGCGGGGGGGGCGGTTTGCGTTTCGGCGAAGTCCGAGTCCGCTCTAGGCTCAGTCATAGTCGCCTAACAACTAACTAACTAGGTAACTAGTAGTAGTAGCCCTCAGGTGACAACCGCCAATGGCTAATTTACTTCTCGCTCCTTGCAGAGTATCCGGCATGCCAACCTGGAGGTCCGACAACCCAAGGCAAGACCCAAAAAAAAGGAGATAGAGATACTGTGGGCAAATCAAATAGGGAGAGAAATAAACAGCACAAGTAGCTTAACCATATATGCCATTGGTTACCTAAATCACTCATCTGCACTTTGGGAGGGGTGGAGAGTCGAAACCTGCCTGCTTCTACGGAGGAGTGGGGAGTACAGTACACCACCAGAGAGCCACAGATCTGACGAGTGCAGATTTCTATCTATGGCCGTATCTCCTGGCGGAGGGGCCGCTCCGCACGTGGTCCATATATTAAGAACAGGCAACCTTCTGAACAATGCAGTGGGGGGGGGCTCGGATACATACATCTGATTGCATCGACCGTAATCTTCAACCATCGGAAGAATTAAAGTGATGATGCGTATGGGGACGATGATATTGGCACCGTTGAAAATCCTCGGTCAGCATTATTTATTCAGGTCCCGATTTGTGATATATTCTCAATTGTAATCGGCGGCATGAGCCTGGTTGTATGCATGGGGACATCTATCAGTTCTATAATCCTCTTAGGCGTCCAACCGTCCAATCCTATAGGCATCTTCACGTCTTCATGTGCTTGCCGATATGATGCACGGTCCGCTCACTTACTGTCTACGGCATAGACGGGGTCGGATTTCACCGTTCGTCTGCCCTTGGCTATGACCGACAGACCTTTGGTTGAGCCGCGTCGGTTCTTATTGTTTTCATTTCTTTTCATCTTTTCGTCTTTCATTTATCCCCCCCTTTTTCTGCTTGATTTACTCTCTCTTTCTTCCATTCATCATGCTTGATGGATTTGCACCCGATGCTACTGGGATCTCACATTAGCGTGACCCGATGGCTGCCCGTCTATACGAGCTCCGACCGAGTGAGGGGAGCCCTTTCGAAGGCAGGGATGCGTTCCTGTCCTCTGAATCGCCCAAATTCCATGTAACCCGGTGCCGGGGTGTCTGGGATCGTTGCAACGTTGGAATAATTCGTGACTCAAATCATAGTCTCAGCCGCGCCGGGAGAGGGCTATCCTGGTTGGTACCGCTGGGCTGTATCTCCACGGTGTGTTGCACGATACCGCGATGAAAGAGTTACCTCAAAGGGTGCCGGAGGGTGTATGGACAAATTGGTCCGGACGAATTCTCACATGTAACCGGCCCTGACTTAGTCCCGAGAGGTTGGATGGGCTTACTTGCTCGCATCTAGCGGACTAAGGCTGCCACTTCTACTGAGGAAGGGGGTGACAAGGCTGCCCTCTGATCGAAAGAATCTTGACCCATAACCCGGGACCTGGAATCAAGGTAAGCTCTATGCTGTAGCCGATGGTGAAAGGGACGAGAAAAGCGATGTTCTCGAGATAGGTGGATATCATAGAAATCATAGAAGTGAAATACGTCGCAATTGTGTTGTCCAACAAGGCCCGGTCTCTGGTATTTTCAGCACTGTCTAGTCTAGAGTCGCGGGGATAGCAATAGTGCGTGTTTCAGAAAGGAGGACATCGTCATAAGCAGAACTTGCCTTGACTGCGACCAAAAATAACCCTTGTGCGATTCGTGGAGTAGCCCGATTTTAAGAGTCGGTGATATGCATTAATTCCGAGTACGATTACCATCTGAAGCGAACGGCCCCGGGCTAAGTCGTGCAATACGACGAGATATCATGGGTTATAGGTCCAGACTGTCTTCAGCCGATACAGACCCGAACAACGATCCAAACTGCACACTTGAGACGAGACCCATGAACCAGCCTGGGTGCAAGTCAGCTAGCATCTGTTGAGGGTGAGGATGCGCAAGAACGTGATTTGGAATCCCCAAATCTGTCGATGCTAACATAATTTGTACTACGTCTTGCTAGGGTGTGTGGAGGCGCAGCAGCAGCATGCCAGCAGTCGTGTGGCATACGTCACTTAGGCCACTTGAGCAGAGCCTCCTGGCATGGAATGAAAAGCAAGATCAGTCAGTAGTACACATACAGAGCGGTGGTTGGTTTCTTTCTTTCTTTTTTTTTTTCCTTTTTTCTTTGCTTTTCTTGTCAATTTTCTTTCTTTTTTTCTTTCTTTTTTTTTGTTCCCGTTCAAATCCCACCATTGCCGTTTCGATCTTGCTGGGGAACAAAGGAGAAGGGAGGGGATCATCGGGAGCGGCACGGTTGCCCGGGCTAGATTCTGGCCCAGGCGCTGAGCGGCTACAGTGGTGGAGGTTTGTGGGTTAAGGATCTTTTGGATTCACCACCAAGGCTCCAAAGTCCTTGAGTCTTTGTGATCAAGAGAGAGCCGCCTTGAAGCTTCTCGCTGTCTCCGTATCGATGGAAAAACTGGCCAACAGTGATTGGCGGTCGAGTCTAAGTCTTTGAGCTCGATTCAAGAAATCCCTGCAAAGGTTGCATTCCGGTTGGTGAGATATCCAGACCAGGCAAACCACTCGGCCCCAAAAGTGGAAGGCCTTGCGATCACCTTAACCTAATATAAAGTCCTTTTCTGGCTCGCCGCGAGCAGCGAAGACAGAAAGGGGAAGGGGGGGGGGGGGGGGGGGCAACCAACCATGCACGGTTGTTGTGAAATGTTCGGCCCCATTGAGGGTGATTCTCCCAGATGAGTACTGTAACGAGTAAGTGGAGTTGCTGCTGCTGCTTCACGCTCTTCCGACTTGAGTTGAGATGCATGTAACTCAGAGAGCCAATCTGTTGAGGTAGGGTATGTACAAAACAAATGGTGAAAGTGACCCAAGCAAAGAGGAAGCTTGAGTGGAAGAGCCGGAGCTGAGGGCGCGGGCGCCTGCGGGCGACACTCATGGTTTACTCAAAATGGAAGGCACGGGGCGGCCGACCGACGAGCCGCTGATGGCAGGCACGCCTTACCAAACAGGGTAAAGTGCTCAGCGCGGGCTCTAGGCTTTTCGAGGGTCACTGGGTGTACTCCGTAGATACCGAGTAATTCAACAGTCACTATAGATACCTACTACCTACGTAGGTGCCCTAATGCAGTGGGGGGGCTGAAAAGAAACAATGGAACCTGAAAGGGTGCAGACGAGCCAGCCAATCATACATGTGAGCCAAGTAGGTATCTGGCGGAAGGCTCCTGGCTTCGAGTTCCACCCAAACCCCACACACCCCCCTTCCTCCCACCCCCCACCCTCGAGCTGTGGTCCACGGTACGTACCTAGTTACTTCATTTACTTACCTTACTAGGGTATACTAATCATATATAGGTACATTAGGCCTGGGAGTTGAGTCAACGCATAGGCAATACGTATATACGTGTGCACACTAGCCTGATTGCATCTGCGCGCACTAGCTGGCTAGGGTAGATTAATTAGCTACTCCACCGGTCCGGCCCAAAGATTGGATTAGAGAAAACTACCTCACACAGTCTCTTTGTTCTTTCGCGCTCAGATTCGGACTTAACCCCTTGGAAAGATGCTCCCTAATTGAAGTAAAGTGAATTGATCTGTATCATTATTTGCGCTCAGCCTCAATAGTCCAATCTCGCGAATAAACCCCTAAAGGGCCGTCTGGTGACAAGAACGCCGCTAACCCCATGCCTCTATCTGCGTCCAAGGTCCATAACAAAAGAGACACTCTTTGACTGATCCCTCGAAGCCTAGTCGAGCATCCACCCCTTGGAGAATGTGGATTGAACTCTCCGTCTTTCGGATAAAACACACACAAAAGACAAATCAACGAGAACTATTCTAAGCAATCAAACAAGCAGGCTCTGGAAGGAGGGGCCTGGGGACACCATTTATTTGAAAACAGAAGTTGTAGAGCCGCCTGAAGCCCGAATACCAATAATACATCATTGCAGTCGTTATAGTTTGTAAACATGAGAAATGGAAGGCAAGAGGATATAAAGAAAGCCCAGCGGGGGGAAAGACATTATAGTCGCACAGTCATAGGAAAGGATACATGTGGGGAGAGCACGGACCCGACTCGGGTGTGAGGGGCCCTGTCCCCAGCGAAGGCTCTGCTGGGGTCGACGGTGAGGAGTGACCATCGCTATGGGCTGAAGACAAGGGTGGCATCTGAGAGACAGAATTAGCACCATTAACCCTGGAGCTCCAGTACCGACATGTGTCGTGTAGAGAGAGGGGTATGTACAGGGATATTGGTCTCAGGTAGGTGTTGTGGTGTTGGACAGAGATCAATGCCCGCCATGGAGGCATAACTCATACTGAACGGACTAACAATCTCATCGTCGGCATACGAATGAGGCTTTTTCGATGGTCCAGTGGCTGAGATGGCGACGGGAAGGATCGAAGGCAGGTGAGTATTGTATTCGTTGTGGTAGGGCAGATCATGGTAGCTGCTTCCAATCGAGTGATATGACGGCGGTTGACCGTAGCTCGAGTGACCATACGGGTCCAAATGCGAGTAGGATGGGTATGAAAATACTGGGGGTGGTGATGCCGAAAGCTGACGGGTACATTGGTGAGAAAACATTGACCCTCGATCATCCGAAGTGGAGTAACCGTCGTAGGACGAGCCTCGCTCACTGGGCGAGTGGCTTGTGGTGTTCTGACTGGATTTGGACGCCCGACTCTGTCGGCTACGACCTGACTTGGCCGTAGATACCGCCTTCGGTGGTTCTGATCGCTCGAGAGTTCTTTCAGGCGACGTCGAGGCTGTCGCCGCTCTCTTCTCTAGATCTTCCAAGCGGCGCTTTAACTTCTTGCCTACAGACAAACGAGATTGATTAGTCATTATTTTCCCCAGCTCGCCAAGATCAGGAACTTACGATAGTTTCTCTGCGCGATTCGATTCTGTATCCGGCGCCTCTCCGCAAGATCGGAGATCTTGGTCCAATCTTCATTAGGGTTGGCATTGGGACTGAAGGCGCTGCTGGAAGCATGATTCGATGAACTTCTCGAGCTGGAGGATTGAGGATAGGAGTAGTTGGAGGAACGATGCATGCTGGGCATTGGGAAGAGAGATGTATAAAGCTACCGGTACGTCAGGCGCAAAGTATGTGGTGGTGTTGCTCTCAATGGAAACTGAAGGGAGAGAGAGGATATAAGGTCAACTATATAGTCGCGTACTGTCGCGCAGGTAATAGCAATGAGCCTTAGAAGTTTCACAGCCTTTGCTTTCGGGAATCATGAGAGATGTGCAGGAGGCAATCAGTATTTAAAACAAAATAAAGCCATGGGTCGATCAGCTGGCGAACATGTCTGTAGCTTATGCCTGCTAAGCCCCGGGTCCGAATGAAAGTAGTCCGTCAGTGACGGTTCGATTGAACCGTTGCGATAACCGTGTTAGTCCGTGCTCCTAAGACTATTATCCTTTTATTTTTATTTTAATTTCATTGTATTTTGGTTCCCTTTTTTTCTCCCTCTTTTTTTTTTTTTTTCTCTTTTGCTTTTCCCATTTTAGAACAAGAGAATGGGGGAGGAGGGATTTTCTGGATCGGTCTTATTTGATTATCTTTTAAATCTATCTTGTATTTATTTGGTTTTTATACTTTCTCCATTAGACCTATTACCCGTGGAAGACGGGGGGAAGAGGGGGCAAGGTGACTGGGGGGGAGACGAAGGGGGAGGGGGGGAATGAATGCATGGCTCGACCATGTGTTGGTAAGGAACCTTACCCGAATGGATGCACCGATGTGCAGGGCTGGGCTGCGTCACTAATGGCTGGCGTGGGTTAGCGGCAATCCTACTCGTAGACCATGAGGCTGTTTTAGCGGACCCCCGATGGCCGACACTACCGGAATGGAGGGAGACTGGGAGAAGGCTCAAGGAAAGAGAGAGAGAGAGAGAGCGAGAGACGGGCAGAGAGAGTTACAGGCATGTTATCAGGCTGTGCTAGACTGACACCAACTTCGGGTTTGTCCACCAATCTCACCCATGTGGTTCCATACTGCACATACCGATCAGTTACGAGGTGGATCATCATCAGTAACCACGAGACGGTCTTCCCCGTACTTAGTGCAATCGGCCGCAGCATTCCTTCGGAGGAGGAAATTGGAATGACCCCGATGCCTGGTCGATCTCGGTCCGCAGTCTGCCTTCGTTTGTTTTCTATGTACAGTACAAACTGTACGAGGTACGGTATTGTACACAGTACTGTAAATGTGACATGAGGTTTCAGGAACCTTGCCTCAGCTTGACTTCAAATGACAGTGGCCTGTCGCAGTTCCTCTGAAAGGACATGAATGATCTAATCTCCAGTTTTTGAGAGAGCCGTTTATCGTACAGTATCCAAAGGACTTTTTGTTTTGTTTTTGTTTTCTTGGAAAGGAAGAACTATAAGACTGAAAAGAAGAAAGAAAACGCTGTTCTAGCGAGCATTGTCCAAAGAGGTACAGTACCTCTGCGTTTGACTCGAACCAACCGAGTTCCTTGGAGCAGAAGCCCAACTGTTGCACAGCCAAGCGCTAGGTTACCTTGGATGTCAATCCTCGCACATTTACGTCTGTGGGGAAGCTTCGCATCGAGGGCTGTACATGTACAAGCATACCTACCGCATACTAAGTACAGCTCATCCAGGGGCATGAGACGGACTACCTTGTGGATCTATAAAGAAACCACTTCAACTCCCGAAAGGGGTCTGTCTGAGCGCCCTTGGAAAGCAGTACGATGGCATGCATACCAATTAAATTCGGGGTCAGTAGAGAAATGGCCCCAATGTAGACCGATCCCCTTAGCTATGAAACAGGTACTAGGGAGATGAGTACAGTACAGTAGGTCGGCCACAGTTCGCGTGTATGGATTGACTTCAAGGTTGACATTTGACAGTGCAAGATCTGGACCCAAGGAGGGGGCTGAAAAATTGCAACTTTGGTACGGAGTATTAATGATTTGATCGGTTCCCACCCCATGTATTACTAGTATGTATCGTCGGTAAGTTTACACTCAGATATGGTGTCTACTTCCACAGCACGGTATCTCGCCAGGCCTGTTCCTCATCAGGACGTGTCAGTGATATCTGTTACTCTGGCAAGAATACTAGCTGTGGAATCTTCTAATGAAACCACGCTTCACTTTTGCGGAACAAACGAAGAAGTTTTTCTTTCGCTCTCTGGCCTCAATTGCCGTAAGGGACTCTATGTATCGAATGGCTACCGAATTCATATAACCCGAACACATGGCTGTTTGTTTCGCTGAACAGAGATTTCGCCGGTCTAATTCAGCTTAAAACCCTGCTCCACGCACGAGGTTCTTTGGTGATTCCAGGTATGCCCCAGGTTCAGCAGTCTTGTTTCGCCTGCCGCACTGAGATCTCTGTGGCGCTAATGTCAGAAGCAAACACTTATCAAATTCGTCTACGTGCTGTAGTCACAGGCTCGTTAGTTAGCATTTAGTGCTCCAATGTATAGTGATCAGGAGCATCATAGCCTCCTTGCCTTGCAAATGGCTTCCCGCCATGCATGATGCACAAGAGGGATGAGCCCCAAGCCCCAAGCCCAATCGCGACAGGGCCCTGCGTTTTCCAGAACAGGGCGCCAAGTTGGTCACGACCTATTAGGTGCTACAAGTCCCCGGGGGACTTCTCAGCTGCCAGACTCAGGGTTATTACTCCTTCTAGTGACTGCCAGCATAGTGCCTGTCTGTCGAGCGCAGGCCGGAGCCAACTGCAACAGGATATGAACACGAGCCTTGAGTGCACGGCCTTGACTTCGACCACGTTGCACCCCTTGATCTTGGCAGTACACTAAGGATAAAGATCTCACCATCTCCGAGCGCCTGGTCTAGATAAAGAGGCGCGCTGTGTGGAATATGATGCTCCCTTGCTTCCTCCATCAGCTTCATTCAGTCGCGATCATTGACCCTTGAAGAGGGCAGCCAGTCATCCTCGAATGTATGTCAGTTGAGCCATGGGATTTCCCCATTGCAGAATCTCATGGCTGTTGTCTAGGGGCATATCTCAGCGTATAAGCACAGCCCACTTCGTTTCTAAGTGGGTTTCCCCCTTCCACCCCCTCCCGGGCCTAGTTTGCTGTCTCGCAGCTAGAAACGGCCCCCGTTCTCCTTATCGGATTAGGGCTTTCCCTTTCCCATCCTTTGATGTAGGTGTACTGCCATCATCCTATATATGGTACGGTACCACCGCATGCTTTAACACTTGGTTCCAACTTGCCTTTGTACTCTGGCTATAGTAAGCCAAACACTTCAAGGGCCTCCTCAGGGGGCGGTTACGTAGCGATTGCGCTCTGTAAAAGCTTGACAGGTATGCTTTGAGAGGGAAGTACCTAAGCTAAAGGTAGTTACTTTGTTCAATTAGCCTGGCCACAGCAGTACAGGCTCCTGCCCAATGTAGATAGCGCCTACGTGCTTGTTACTGGGCCTCCAACTTGTCATGCCGGGGACGAGGCCCTGGAGGGGGGGGGGCAAGTGAGGGGAAGAACATCCCCTCACGTTCAACGGGACCAATAATCTCGCACCATTGTCTAGAATCATTTTTCAGCCCCAAATGGCACTTAGCGAGCCAACAAATCATCATTTACTCTCAGTGGGCGGGCCTCATGGCCCTCAGTTGCTCATGCTGATCATGCTATGGTACACTTGCGGCTCAATCACTTGCAGGCTTACACCCAGCTTGAAACGGGATTGCGCGAGCCTTGGGCCAGATTAATCACAGCCCACCAGATTTCGACAAGTGTGTAGGGCTGAAGAGGCTAAGGATCATCTGCGGAGTGACTGTTCAGTTACAGGATTGCGGGCCTGACTCAAAACCCGTGGCCAATGCTCCGGTGATGTTGCTTGAGTTTCTATGCTGGCCGTAGCCTATACGTAGTACATACAGTACAGCACACTGTATAATTGAGCATTGGTAGATCATATGTGAAGAATTCAACTCTTATTTCCCTCCTATAGAAATAAGGTCCCTGTTACACCTCCTCTGCCTTCGGACCATGCAACGCCTTCTCGTATAAGTGTGCCCGTCTTCTTGCTCAGTGTGCACCGTGGGCTTCCTGAAATAGGTTCAGCTGCGCTAGATCCGGCCAAACGCAGCAATCATTGGCTGCAGCCACAGCTCGTATATTCACACAGTACTGTAGCACTACCAAACCACGAAGATGGGTCGATGCATGGGTAAATAGGAATACTGTAATCTCTGCATGCCATGGCGTGCCTTGCGACTGGACGGGTTTCTTGTTCTACTAGAACCTGAAGAAGCAGGAAGGACTTCCACGGACAGCTCTTTGCGGGTGCCACATCGAAGCTTCAGGTATTTCTAGAAGACATCCAGAGTGATGTGAGACTGTGTTGCTCTGCTGCACTGCATCTGACCGCATCGGCTGGTGCGGTAGCCAAGTCGAATAAAATATTTATAGCCGAATCGGACTGACTTAGTGCAGCAGTCTTCAGGCTTTATCCAGTCCTAGGCTCTTCTAATGCATAGGCATACATACACACTATAGCGCCCCATAAAGCCAACCCTCGTCAAACCAGTTTGTACAGTACATACAATACCTTGCAGCCATACAGACAAGCCTGAAACAAGACCGAGGAGCGTTAACACCCGAGTGCAGTTTCTTCCTCATAGACTTTAACACTGCAATGTACAGGCAAGGTTTGTTAGTTATTGCTCGAAGGAATGAACAAGTCATAATGAGTCATCCGTAGCACTTGACAATATTGTCTGGCTAAAAAGCTAGGAGAAAGACCAAGAGCAAGACCCCCGCAAGACCGGGAAGAAGAACGCAAAGACAAAACACCCCAGTCGAATGATGTACTGTTCGGGAACTCCACGTGCAGTACGGTACCTAGCCATGAGTCCATGTGATGGCGCCATTCTTATCGGACCTCCACCTACCATGATTTGCGGCGGGTGAAGATTGGCTCTGGGATCTCTATCTCTATCCCATTGAGATAACAGTGCCTGTGGATTTCTATCTAACATCTCGGGCGACCTTCACGGACCCGACGATCGGTTTAGTCATTCCATGCCATGACTTCACTCGGTGTTTTCCAAATTCTAGACCGTGGTAGTCACTAGTTACCTGCGAAGGGATCTCTCAACCAGAGGTCGGCACATATGCCGTGGAGATATTTGGTTTGATCGAGTTGCTTACCAAGGTAGGAAAGTGATGTACGGCCACTAAGTTACTGTTTCCGGCCCCAATATGACAAGTTGGGGTGTTTGTACTGTACCGCTGAACTACAGTTATTGTACGGTGGGAGGAAATTGACTTCCCACCTCATCAGCCTGCCCGGACCTCCGCCCCATTGTCCAAGTTAGTTAACCGTTACTAGTTCCAGGTTCGAGCAATAGCAGCAGAAAACGGCCCCCATGATTAGAAATCCCGACCACATTCCAATTGGAACATTCAGTTTACTTGGGTACTGTACATAATTACGCTCGACCATGTGGCAATGCTTGCGGATCAGTGCCCCAAACAACTGCTTTTAGTAAATGCCACAACTCATGCGCTAGCGGAATTGATTGGTGCCATGCATTCGCTGAGCCTGCCGACCAGTTCCGTCTAGATTGAATATACGAATCCATCGCCGCGGACTAAAGCAAACGAGCCCCCACAGCAAAGACGGCCACTAGTCCGCACCTGCGTGGTCCTAGAATCCCTGTCTAGGGAAGTGGTGCCTCGATGTTACCACATATCAATAGGCCCATAGGCCCGAAACGTGCGCAACCAATTTGCGTCGCATGAATTCCGCAGTCGGAATGACTTGACTCGCTGACTGGGCCCATAACCTGCCCCCTAAACCATGCTGCACAAGCCAACGGGCAATCGCCAGTAGACCCGGAATAAAGGTCTCTCTCCTACTCTGACTTATCTTGAAGAAGGATGAGTTAGGATCGACGGCATCTATCAGGGTATGGCATCGATGGGTAAGCACTCTTGTAATTGGGCCACCACAGGAGAGCCCCGGAAAAAGCCACCGGCAGTGGGGAGAAACGTTTAGTTGACAGAAACGAGCTACTATGGGGTCCCGGCGGATCAGTATGGGTACTATGGGATGATAAGTTAGCGCTCGAAAAGGCCCACGACACCCACAGTGATTATCACCAACGCGTCTAGTCACTCGACTCGTGGGCGACTAATGCAGAAGCTAGAGCCTCAACAAAGTGCATTGCCTTGGTGGGTATATTTTTCTTAGAATCATGCCTAGGGTTTCAGGGCAGCTGACTAGCGGGTGACCTGCAATCTTAGCGTGATGGTTGTCGGAGGCCTTCAGACAAGGGCCTAATTGATTGATTAATAATGATTTATGAATCATCACCAATTGTCGGACTCGGCCTGACCGAGAGACCGATGGTCTAGGTGATACAGTTATCACTTAGTATCGTGTTCCATCTAAGTGTGCTACAATACTCAATCTTCCAAGTCCACTCGGTACCATGGTAGCACAGTTATGACTCAAACAAATGGAAATAGATTGGAACGATAATCACTAAGGCTCAGACTCTTGAACCGCACATGCATCATTAGCTTGTGACTGTGCGGAGTATTACCTCGCCTTTGTGAAGGAGATGATGCTAATCAGAAACGGTAGTCTTTGAAGACGTCCACTGATGCTGTTCCGATTTTTGTTGTATAATATACAGTGTATACTGTACAGTACATTACTAGAGTTTTATATGACAGCACGGTACAAGAGGTACAGTAGATCTAAGCTCGAACTCCGATCGTCGTATAGAACAGTCGCAAAGACTGGCAGCGAGTCAGTAATTTGTTGATCAATAGTTACTCCGTACCCTCGAGCAGTACGTAATCATCTGCCTCCTTCATTCTTCTCCTCATTCCGCCGCTGGCGTAAGGCCACCCGTGGTGGCTTCTTTATAAGAAGCTTCATCTATGATTTCAGTCGTCATCAACCAATAATTCAGCCGGTTGTTTTGGCATGGAGTACGTTCAGAAAGTATGGTTGTATTGCGCGCTTGCCCCCCCCCCCCTCTCGCACCTTTCCTTTTCATCTGGTTTTTAGTTATTACTTTTCTTTTGTTCAATTTCTCCCCCTTTCTACTCCAAAAGAAATGGTCTCGGCAGGACGGCTGTTCTAAAGGCCGATAGCGTATCTACCCACGGCGGAGTATCTACCGACTCATCCGAACCATTGGGCATGCCCCCAAACGATCCAAGTCAGAACCGAGCTGAAGTTGGAGAAGTGGAGCCATGCCAATGGCAGGACGTGGACAAAAAGAGTTGCGGCTCCTCGTCCCCTCCATATCCGTACAATCAGAAAACAAGCACCGGGCATGGGCCAGTTTCATCTTCACCCATGACATGGCTCATACAGGCAGAGGCAGACTGCAACACAGCCTTGCCTAGCTTTCTAGGGTGATTCAGGATCAATTAGTATTGCTGTTGGTTGAATACTAGTTTGTTTACCGCGGATTACAGCATGGCCTACAAGAGCTGAGACACTGGAGGCCAACTAGTGAAATCACTGCCCGCGGAACGGATCCTGCCGGCACGTTGTTGCCTGGTAAATCTGTCTAGGTGCTGACTTTTGATGGAGTCAACTGTCTAGTTTATCTAGGCACTAGGCATCCATATGATATGACGAGTCTAGTCGAGAGCTACGAAGAAATCAGTCCAGAAACAGTGATCTTTCTGAAGCGTAGATGATATCTTAGAATTGTATTCGATTGTTTATACGGTGCATACCAAGGCACAAGGTACTACGTATACGCATACGTATAGTACAGTACTGTAACTCCTGGCTATACTACCTGCCAGGTGCTGGGAATTAATGGTTGCCTGGTGGGGCTCAAGATGTTAGCGTGCTGATTGGCTTGCTCGCATAAACATGAGCTCCAGGCTCGGAACCTTTGAAAGATGGTTAAGGCGTTGGGTTGGAAGTTGGAACTTAGTTGGGGATGATTATTATTATTTTTATTATTATAAATCACTTACGAGCCTGACTAGTTACAGTAACTAACTAACGGACTAATTACTAGCCAGATCTGGACAGCGACCTTCCGAGCCTCGAGGACTGAACTGTGAAAGAAAGGGTTCAAAGTGGATAGCGAGCGGCTCGGTGGGGTTGATTATGAGCTGTGCGTATTACAAATTCTACGGAGTAGTCTGTCAGTCAATGAATGAGTTTACTTACCTAGTTGATGGCACGCTAGCATGGGCTAGATCGATTCATCGGTGATGGAGTCTTCGGGATCTTCGATAAAAACAACAAAACTACGTGGTTTGTTTGCTCCAAGAATGCTACAGAAGATTGGAACCTTCGCATATCGCTCTGAATCTCAGTCGGTTGGCGACGAGTCGACAAGCGTAATGTGCAAACAGTTCTCAGCCCGCTCAAGGTAAGTTCGCACTGTGATGTAGAGAGTCTCCATTTATAACTTAGCCTGCAAGTTATCCGATGGACGGCTTTCGATAAGGTGACATTCCATGCTACTGCCCTCGTTATATGCTGGCCTCGAACATCCAGTGGTGGGTCGCTGGAATGACAATGTGGGCCTTATTCAATGTCCTGAGACCTAGCGTCACCGATCGGCTTTCTCTCAATGTCTGTTTGCCTAGACTTGAACATGATAGCTCGGTGGCGATGCTTGCCGTGCATTTGGCCCCGGAACGGTGTCTTGGACGAGTTGGTATACAGTAAAATCTCCGTCTGAACCAGAATCAAAGTCGCAGGAGCACTGAAAAGATGAGTTTTAACTGCTCTAGCCTCAGGTAACGCTCAGAGATTAACCATGAACATATTGTTATTTGTGTTTTCGGTCCATCAAAACCACCATGAGCCATACAACGCCCCTTGATCTTGAATCAAACGTTTTGATTCGTCTATGGGAGACGACATAAACCACGCGCGCGCGCACACACACGCACCCACACATGCAATGATTGTTGAGAACACATCAACTCCTATCCTTAAATCTGACTCTATAGGACGTAGCTGTGATAATCGTTAGCACTCTTGCAAAAGCCGTGTTCAGGTCGGTAGAAGAATTCTCACCTCCACGGATGCTCCTCGTCACCATACTGAATACCCTCGATCCAGTTCTTCATTTGCAAGGCGATTTCCCCAGCCTCTTCGTTTTCCTTCAGACCGCAGTCGACCAGCTGACCCTTGTAGCTAATCTTTCGTACGGGGCTCACAATGGCCGCGGTTCCGGCTCCGAAGACCTCAATTAGTCTTCCCTCCTGAGCTGCTTCAGCAAGCTCAGTCATCCTGACTTTGCGCTCTGCGACAGCCCACCCCTTTGGCACCAGTCTTTCCCTTGCCAGAGCCAACACCGAATCTCTAGTGACACCTTCAAGGATTGTCCCGTCTAATGGTGCAGTCACCAGCTCCTTCTGACCAGTTTCCTTGTTCTTCATTGCGACGAAGAGATTCATCGTGCCAACTTCAGTGATATACTCCTCCTCTCCGAAAAGCCACAGGTTCTGCTGGAAACCCCGGGAGGCAGCTTCGAGTTGAGGCAGAACACAAGGTGCGTAATTCGCACCTAGCTTCTTGTCTCCCACGCCACCGGGCCAAGCGCGGACTGCATAGTCGGTGGCCTCAAGAGAGATAGCCTTGAAGCCAGTGGGGTAGTAAGGGCCAACAGGGCTTGCGATCACGAATAGAAGGGCGGAACCTGGGGGTCCGACACCAAGAGTCTTTTGAGTGCCAATCATCGTGGGACGCAGGTATAACGAGTATCCTCGAGCACTACAAGAGCAGGGGTTAGCCATGACTGAAAGCTGCCGGAAGAAGAATTGCAATTGCACATACTCCGGGATGAATCTGCTGTCCAGCTTCACGAATTCTCCAATCAGTTTGGTCAGAGCCTCGCCGTCGAAGGTGGGCAACGCAATTCTGGAAGACGACTTGTTCAAACGTGCCATATTCTTGTTCGGGCGGAACAGCCGGATTTGGCCTTTGTTGTCCTTGTATGCCTTCATACCTTCGAAGCACTCGAATGCATAGTGAAGCACACAGGCTGAGGGGTCGAGGCTCAGGTTCTGGTACGGAACGATCTGGGGGGTGTGCCAGCCATCAGCCGCTGTCCATTCAATCGAAAGCATATGGTCTGAGGGCGAGAGAGCGTTAGCGAAAATCGAAGACGAACCGTGTCAGGTCATTGCCAATGCCGAATGTCCATACCAGTGAAGGTCTTTCCGAAGACAAGGTCCTTGGCGGCCGTCAACTCTTTGGGCGTGCTCGTCTTGGTAACTGTAAGCTTGGAAGGATCAAGACCAGCTAAGCTGGAAGCAGCAGTTGGTGTTGCGCTGAAGCATCTCTTCCATAATTGACTCAGTGCGGAGTTTTGGGGGGCGCCAGGGGCAACGAAGCTCTGTAGTAACGCCCGACGGCGGGCAACCTGGAAAGATCGCATCGTGAGCGTGATCCGCAAACAATGTGAAGATAATGAAGTAGAGAGCACTCAATCAACCCTGTGCTGCACTATCACCAAAGACTGTTGAGGTTAATTTGGGGGTTGGCGGTTGCGGAGCTTTAAAAAGGCGGAGAAAAGCACTTGATGACTCTTTTTCAACGGACCCGGGGCACAACTCCGGAAGATCCACAGATAAAAGGACTTAATTAGTATCTGAAGATGGCTTATGCCCAGACCACAGATTGGAACGCGAGGCCGCAATTTCTAAGTCGAGTTTGCTCCAATTGTGCTATCACAGATCACAGCTGGGTCTAAAGCTCTGTGACTTGTTCGCCCTTGGATGAATTGACTATCGCGCTGTCATTGGAGGCGATCTTCCGACGTCGGCGTCGAGCGGCACAGATACCCGGCAATAATCGATCTAAGAAGGCGGTCAGCTCGGAGAGCTCCAGTTGTTTTTGCCTGGGCCCCGGGCCCAGTCCAACCACTAAACTTAGGCCTTTGGTGCGTGCACGTGACAGAGGCCTCGGGCGGCCAGCTGCCCGCCCGAACACTGAATGATAACTAACTTATCCATGTGGAATGCCATTCATGACATGAATAGAGAAAGGTGAAGCGGAGAAAGAGATTGGAGAATTTGGAAGCAACAATACGGCGACCTGGACTCTACCCTTGAACTGAGGAGACCTCTTCAACCTCAGTTCACGAATATTCTGTTCCTGTCCATATACTTCCCCCCTTTCCCAATTCATTGCTGCGTCATCACTTTATTCCTCTTCCAGACTTGTGATATCTCAATTCTCCGAATATACGCCCTCCCGCATAAGCTTCGCATTGGATGCAGTGGAACTAGTCAATAGTGTTTTGATCTCTCGCAAACGGTCATATATCTGGGTTGATATAGGCGAAAATGTTCTCATCGGCGCTCAAATCTCTGAGCTCTAACATAACATCAAACTATCAGGTCTCTCCCCACCCATCCGTGGTGTCAGGACCCTGGAAGATCCATGACGGCAAGAAGAAGTCCACAGGCACAGCAGCTTCGATCTTTATCTTCGATAAGAAGGTTCTCGAGACCCGTTCAAGCGGGCTGGGCAATCGCTCCAGTGGTTCCACTAAGAAGTTGCAGGAAGATGTTGTTGACCGACTGAAGCGAGAAGCCGGCACTCTTGCACGGCTTCGACATCCCTCTGTTCTTCAGGTTCTAGAACCTCTTGAAGAAACGCGTGGCGGTGGACTTATGTTTGCCACTGAACAGGTTACTGCCTCTCTTGCTGGACTTCTGCAGGCCAAAGATGCTCAAGAGAGCTCTGCTAGGGCCGCATCTGATGTCCGTCGCGGAGGGTCTAGCCGTTACATGGTGGAGGATCCTGACGGAACGCGGAGACGACGAGATCTTGATCTTGATGAGTTAGAGATCCAGAAAGGTCTGTTGCAGGTGGCAAAGGGTCTCGAGTTTCTGCACGAATCGGCAGGGCTCGTTCATGGAAATCTTAATCCTGAAGCCGTCTTCATCAATGCTAAATCAGACTGGAAAATTTCTGGGCTGGGGTTTGCTGGCCCTCCAACTGCATCGGACTCACGATCGACGCTTCCACCGCTTGCCTTGTCAGAAGTACTCTATCAAGATCCCCGCTTACCGGCGTCAGTCCAGTTGAACATGGACTATACCTCTCCGGACTTTGTGTTGGACTCAAATGTTACCCCCGCCGCCGACCTTTTCTCACTTGGTCTAGTGATTGTGGCGCTCTATAACTCACCCCATGTATCTCCATTGCAGACACACTCAAATGTGAACACATACAAGAAGCTTCTTAGCTCTTCATCCACCACCCCTTCCCAAGGCAACAACTTCTTGTCTTCGGGCACAATCCCAAGAGACATCCTCGCTCATGTATTACCCAGATTGATAACTCGAAGGCCAGCCCAGCGACTAAATGCTCGGGAATTCCAGCAATCCCCCTACTTCGACAATATTCTGGTTTCAACAATTCGTTTCCTGGAGTCTCTACCAGCAAAGAACCCGAATGAGAAGTCGCAATTCATGCGCGGCTTGCAACGAGTATTACCCGAGTTCCCGGTCTCTGTATTGGAAAGAAAAGTTCTGGGAGCTTTGCTAGATGAGATGAAGGATCGTGAGCTTCTTCCTCTTGTCTTAGGTAATGTTTTTGCCATCCTTCAACGCATCCCCAGTGCGCGGCGTATATTCCCCGATAGGGTAATACCTCAGTTGAAAGAGACGTTTCCGGCTGGTAAGGGGGCTCACCAGGAGCGTGACTCCAAGAAGGATGCTGGGTTAATGGTGGTTCTGGAAAATATGAACATTGTTGCTAAGAACTGCTCCGGGAAGGAGTTTAAGGAAGGTCAGTTATCCGTCAATGTTTTCAATGACTATGTGACATGACCGGATTCTAATTTGAACAGATATCCTGCCCTTGATCCGCCTGGGACTTGATTCACCGACACACTCGTTGGTAGATGGTGCAATCAAATGTCTCCCAGTCATTCTACCCGTTCTCGACTTTAGCACTGTCAAGAATGAGGTCTTTCCGCCGATCGCTGCAACCTTCAGTCGCACAAATAGCCTTGCCATAAAAGTGCGCTGCTTGGAGGCGTTCGCTGTTCTCTGTGGCGGCACTGTGAATTCTGAAGAAGCTCTAAGAGATGACTTCACAGGTGTTGGCCCAGAGAGCGTACCGCAGTCGAATAAGTCATCGATTCTGGACAAGTATACAATACAAGAGAAACTTGTCCCATCACTGAAGGCCATCAAAACAAAAGAGCCAGCTGTCATGATGGCGGCACTGAATGTGTTCCGACAAGTCGGAAAAGTGGCAGATACTGAGTTCCTTGCCTTGGAACTTCTCCCAGTCTTATGGAGCTTCAGCCTCGGACCTCTCCTCGATCTTCGCCAATTCGGCAGTTTCATGCGCTTGATCAAGGATCTTTCCTCTAAAATCGAACGTGAACAGACAAAGAAGCTGCAGGAACTTTCATCGGCAGGCGATAGCACCAAGTTTCAGAATAGTGCCGTGGGATATCCCAAATCCGCAGGTGACTTGAATCAAACTGGCGCGGATGCACGAGACACCTTTGAGCGTCTGGTCCTAGGACGAAACCCTGACAGCCTTGATAGCCAAGATACCGATCTATGGAGCACCGCCTCTGCAGAGCCCTCAACGAAACGACCTCCCATTCCAAGCACTTCATCCACCGGGACATCTTGGTCGCCAAACGTTGCTAGCCCTGTTTCCAAAGGAGGCATGCTACCAACGCTGTCGAATCTCAGCATGCGGTCGGTCACACCTGATTACAACTTAAGCTCCTTTCCCTCCTTGCAACCTGCTGCTAGAACCAGCTCGCCCTCGACTCCAGCAGTTTCTACGCTGCCCACTTCTCCTCCCGCCCTTCAATCGTGGTCCTCACCGATTTCCTCAAACCCCCAACAGCCTCTTCCGGGGTCGAGGGCTTCGAGCAATGGCTTAGGATCGTTGTCCGGTCTCAGAGTCAATAATGGCATATCTGGACAAGGGTCGCAATCTGCTCTCAACTATGCTGCGTTCTCAATTCCTCCCCCGCCAGCCGGCCTGGGCCAAGTCGGCTCCCTGACGAACCCCACTGGCGCGTCGAATCCCGTGCGATCCCCTGTCGGTGGCAATATCACATCCACTGCTTTCCCCAGCAATGCTTCAGTTCCACCGCATGGAATGCAAAAACAAGGCCTTGACAAGTATGAGAGTTTGCTATGAGGTGTATGGCCTGTGCTGTTGCGTGAATGCCGTTTGTCTTCTTCCAAGCTTTATTGTTCGATATTTAACCGAGTCACTCAATGTGTGTTTGCAAGCACCGCAAATGCATGTAGGTTGCCCACATACCACTGCCCGATTATAACTGTAACGTACGACTTTGACTGGCAGCGAAGAAAAAGAATGTGGCCCCTGGTTGTTCTGTATATGACTTACGAGGTATGGGAATGGCTGATCCAAAAGATTGCTGTCCAGTACATATCACATTTTTCTCGGATGATTTGCACTCATAGAATTGGCTGGCCCAGGTTTAGTGAGGTATCTCACGATTATGTATGAGTATATTCAATAGAGATATATCTAAACAGTACCTAGTACTTTACGTAGTTACGTAGTTACGTAGTACGCTGACCGAACAGAGTGGACCTTTCAAAGAGATTATTAGCCCAAAGCTCCACTTCTGCCAAGCACCCTCAAATCGTAGAAAGCTTAGACTTGCAAGCTGAGGTGACTGGATTTCTCCATACTCGGTAAGTTACTCAATAGCAGCTGCGACTGGGCAGGAAGAAAGCTCAGACACCCTAGGTAACGTTAGTCTTCAAATGCACTCTCTTCGAGGCGCCTGGAGGCGCTTTCCGTCGGCCCACCGCCACCCCTCCTGCTTCCGACTACCGCACTTACCCCTCAATCCTTACCACCCCATCCGGTGGTCCTCTTCGTCCCGGCCCAGCAACCTGTCCTCTACAATTCCCCTTGATACCGCAGATACCTCAGTAACCACAACGGCGACAACAACAACAACAACAACACCGCCGATCGACATGGATGACAAAGTGAAGCAACATTATCTGGCTGACTCGCCTCCCTCGGTAGTCCGCTTAGAAATTAAGACACATTTCGATAATCTAAAGGATGCAAAGCTGCGTAAATATGCGCATTATATGAGCCGGTTCGGTGCCAACTCTCTATCTGAGCGGCCACGTCTCGGGGAAGCTAACATGAGCAACCTCTCTCTAGCGCCGCTTTTGCAGGAACTCGAATCACACTTCGGCAGGTTTCTCCAGAGTCAGAACCCATCTATGACCTCATCGTTGAACTCCATCGGACCTGCAATGGAGACTGGAATGATCTTGCTCGGAGATCGAATGTCAGCGATGAGCATCTTCGCTACTTCCTGGAATATGCCGCGCAGTTTCTCGGCAACTGTGGCAACTATAAGGGCTTTGGCGACTCTAAGTTTATCCCCCGTTTGCCCGTTGAGGCCTTTCAAGCTTTAGCTTCTGCCTCCCCCAAGACAAAGGAGGCCTTCAGTCGGGCCAACAGCACAGGAGGTGGCATCTATGAGACAGATGTACAATCGCGTATGCACTTGGGTTACGTAGAGGGAAATCATATGACTACGTATTATCCTGATTCGCCGTCAATCACCAAAGAAGAAATCACAGCCGTCGGTGACTTTTTGGAGCAGAAAGGGTTGCCGTTGGAGAATACGCGACTGAAGAAAACTGAGACTGGGGACTTCGAACTTCTAATCGCTTCCGGTGTTTCCTCACCCCCGGCACGGGACCGAGATTTGGGCTATGTCGATAGCTTCGATCTCGATGGCAAGTTGAAGGGCCACAAGCTTCGCCTCGTCTTTGGCGATCATCGAGAGGAGATGGCCAAGGTCGCGCACAGTATCAAGCAGGCTTCTCTGCATGCTGCCAACGACAATCAGAAGCGGATGCTGGATGCCTACGCTCTCTCATTTGGTTCTGGCTCCATCGAGGCATTCAAGGAAAGCCAGCGGATCTGGGTAAAGGACCAGAAGCCAGTATTGGAGACCAATCTGGGTTTCGTCGAAACCTACAGGGACCCTCATGGGGTGAGAGGAGAATGGGAAGGATTCGTTGCTCTGGTAGGAGTTTCTGTTCAACACGTTCTTCATGTATGGCACGGCGGTTCACTGGCTAACTCGAACAGGTCAATTTGGAGAGAACCCGCGCTTTCGGTAAGCTGGTTGACAGTGCTGAGACCATGATTCCTAAATTACCGTGGAGTAAAGAGTTTGAGAAGGATAAATTTCTCAGCCCCGACTTCACGTCTCTTGAGGTGTTGAGCTTCCAATGCTCTGGCCTCCCCGCTGGAATCAATCTTCCCAATTATGATGACATTCGGCAAACCCTTGGATTCAAGAACGTTTCCCTTGGAAATGTTCTCAGTGCTAAAGCACCCAACGAGCCCATCCCATTCATACCCGATAGATACCTCAAAGTGTACAGCGAAAACCGTGATGCTGCGTTTGAGGTTCAGGTTGGCATTCATGAGCTGCTTGGTCATGGGACTGGAAAGCTACTGCAAGAGACGTCTCCTGGAGAATATAATTTCGACATTTCCAGCCCTCCTGTAAGTCCCGTGACTAACAAGCCTGTCACAACGTGGTACAAACCTGGCCAAACCTGGGGCTCCGTGTTCGGGGCTGTCTCTTCGTCTTATGAGGAGTGTCGTGCAGAATGCGTTGCAATGGTGCTTAGTTGCGACTTTGAGATTCTCAAGCTCTTTGGGTTTGGCGACGGCCAGGTGGACCTTACGAACGATGCTGGTGATGTTCTCTTCGCGGGTTACTTGTCGATGGCTCGCGCCGGTTTGGTTGCGCTCGAATTTTGGGATCCCAAGACCCAGAAGTGGGGACAGGCTCACATGCAGGCCCGCTACAGTATCTTACGAACCTTCCTCGACGCTGGTGACGATTTCGTCAAGCTTTCCTACAGCAAACCGGATCTTTCAGATCTAGAGATTCACCTGGATCGGTCGAAGATTCTGTCACATGGCCGGCCGGCTGTGGAGAAATACCTGCAGAAGTTGCATGTGTATAAGAGCACTGCGGACTTCGACTCAGGCAAGAAGCTTTATGATGAGATCACCTCCGTCGATGCGTGGTGGGGTAAGGAAGTCCGCGAGGTGGTGCTGAAGAATAAGGTTCCTCGCAAGATCTTCGTCCAGGCGAACACCATCCTCAACGGAGACGAGGTGACGCTCAAAGAGTACGAACCTACCCTCGAGGGTATTATCCAGAGTTACGTCGAGCGCGACGTTTAGCCATTTCGTCTGCAGACAGCCTCGGCAGCATGTTTGTTCTTTACACTAGATCCCGGCCATCGGATGATCTATAATTAGCCTGTGTCCAGGGCATGCAGAGCATGTGCGAGTGCAAAATTTGCCAAATCAACTAAATCAAGCGATAAAGATGACTCACGCTGTTTGTATTCAAGGCAAGCCGTCGAGGCAAGCAGCCCTTGCAGTTGAGCAATTTGAAGTAGCGCTTGCGGTACGAGCGAGGTAACCATGCGAGTAAGAAGAGTACGTGCGGGCAAGGTTTCATACTATGTGTATCAAATCAAGCGGTTAAGGGGAAGTTAACTTAACTTTAATTTGGTAGTAGTCAGAAGTAAGCTCTTATCTAGAGTAAGCAGCCCTGCAAAGCAGCCCTGAAGATGAGTAGGAGAAGGTACTGAAGATAAAGAATGTTGTGAGGTGGTGGGTATTGCAATGGACGGTCATGTGACAAGGGACTGAACAAAGCCATTTGGCTTCTCAAAGGTGCATGTTCTAGGTAGAGTTAAGGTCGCGCGAAGGCAAAAGTATAGTCACAGGCACTGTGCAGTACTACACACATTTCGTATGGTCAGTCACTAATTGCAATGGGAATGGAGCTGGGGCGAGAGGACGGATGGGCAAGGGACGGACTAGCGACCGACCACTTTTATCACCTTGAGTAGCTACTCTGGCTTACTAGTACCGCCTGAGTTAGTAGAGTACTTGGTGGTCACTCAGTAGTTACCCGCGCGCTCAGGTCTGTTATCATTATTACTATTGCTGTTTTGCTGCTTTGCTGCTGTCCCTCCCTCCCTAAATGCTCCCTGCCGCCTTTCCTCTCCTCTCCTCTCCTTCTCCCTCTTCCACCCCCTCTCTTCACATTCCTCAGCGTCACCACCGCCCAAACTAGTAATCCGTCTACAGATACCCCCTCCGTCTAATTTTGCTTTTTCGCTATTTTTGATTCTGCTAGCATCCTTTTCTGATAGAACCATCAAGGTCGAATCCAACTACCAGCCTCAACTGTTATGTGCCAATACCCTGAATAATACAGATCGAGGCACTCACCCCAAAAGACTCCTCCTGATCGTCACTGCACATACCTAAGTCTCCTACGACCGACGACCGACCAGTAGACGACTGGCAAGACCTTCACAACGACAGACGCCGAGCGCTCACCTCCTGATTCTGCCACAGACCTCGTCACCTTGTCGTGGTTACCGAATTCCTCTGGCTCGCCTCCCACGGCGCGGCCGCATCATCGAACGACGGACTCCGTAACGGAAGACCAGGACGAGGACGACTTCGACTTCTATACTGCACCACCACCCCACTCTCCTTGCTCGGAGGCTTCCACTTCCAGCTTTTTTCCATCTAATCCTCCTCCTTTCTCGTCTCTTGTTTTCGTCGCGGCGTCGGATTCCAATCGCGCAAAGGATACTGTCACACCGTCCGGCTCCACCCTCACCCCAGCTCTCGTTAATTCCCTACCCAACGAGGGTCTCAGACCGGAATCATCAACATCGTTAGTTGCCGAAGTTAAAGCCTCACTCTCTCGAGACATCAAACCAGATTCCTCAGCGAAGGCAGCGGAAGAAGGCGAGCCTCCTCCACCATATACCGAAGGATCAAGTCCACTCGAGTCTTTCACGTACGTCATGGCTGCAGCAGGAGGCGCGTCGAGTATCATCACCCAGGTACAACAGGCTGGAGGGCCGCCGATCAATACATTAGGAGGTATGCAAATTCATCAGTTCTCTGCACCCGGTCAAACAGTTCATGGCTGATTCGTGCTATCTACAGACATTGGTGGCGATGAGCACATTACTCTAGACCTTAGGTATGCGCGGGTATTCTTTGCTTCGCAAGCAGGTAGCATCTTGATCCTTGGCACTGACATGTCCGAAGAGGTATTCGATTTACACTTTCCCGCGATGAGTTGTTGACTTTGCCGGAATTTGTTCTTCTGTCATTGTTTCCGAACGGCCTCCTCCCTGATGGACACATGGGCACTTTCCATGAAGGTGACATTTACCCTGTTGACGTAAGTGACTCCCTGCCGGCGTATGTGTGGCCATGACTCTGGCTCCCTGGAACCTATATCTCATACTGTCATCTCCAGTACGATCCGGCTTCTTTACAGTATATGCTGGATTTCTTCCGCTCGGTTGCCCAGTCAATTCCGTCTTCTTCGCCTTCCCCTTCGACCTCCCAAGATGTGGATGTGCCCCCCGATTCCATGCAGGCATCTGCCAGGGACATGCTTCAAGATCGGGCTGGCATCATTGTCTTGCGCGAAGATTTGGACTTTTACGCGATACCTCCTCGCCCTGACATAGATCATGCAGAGATGATGGAAGTCAAGCGCGCGGCCGCGAAAGCTCTGCTGAAGCAGGATGGAATATTCTCTGGTTTGAGGAAAAGCGACGAAGCAGGTTCGACCGAACAGCATCTGATTGAGATGCTTACTGCAGGGTAAGCTCTCCACATGTTCTATGCCCAAGGAAATTAGTGTATGCTAATGATGTCTAGCGGGTTCGATCGTGATGATCGATGGGGCCACCGTGCCCCGGAGCCTAATAAAGCAGTCATTTGTAGCTTGGCATTAGCCAAGCTTCGAACTGACATTCGAAGTGATCTGGAGAATAACAACGCGGTGGGGATGGCTCAAAAGCTCCTTCTCTTTTGGCGGAAACCAGCAAGGAGATGTTGGTGGGAAGGCGTTGAGCTACATGATGTCGAAGGGGTAGACGGCAAGGTTAAAATCTGGATTCGGCGAGTATGGACACTGGAAATGGTAAGACTTTCCCGCAAAATCCCGGATCTACAAGTGCTTCGCTGACGATGATGCAGAGCGTAATTGGGCTCCGGTAGCCAGAGACAGTAATTTTTCTCCTTCTTGTTTATTATACTTCCCCAAACATCTATATTGATTGTCCTTAGCCGTACATCGCATCTGTCTCCCCATGTTGTTGGTGCATGTTAGATCTTTCACGCGTGAAGTTGGCGACTTCCCGCGAAATCCCGAGTCTTCTCAACTACCGCATGGTACGCAAGGGAAATGGGCCGTCGCTTCTTATGTAGGTTTTTAGTAAGACCTCTGGAATGATTCTCAACAAGGTAGCCTGAAAATGTCGGCTTTTACAACCTCAGGGCCATTATGGATTACACCCTCAAAATCATATCATACTTTGAACCTGATAACATAGAATTCTTCATTCTATTTTATGTATTGTCAGCGCAAGCAGACCTGCTATCGTCACTGATGGAACTACAGTATCCAGTATCATTGCTGAGTATCCCCACATACCATCACGTATCATCACGTGCATGTGGTTGACTAGAAAAGGACTAGCGCCGGTCTGGAATCTCTGCCGGCAAAGCGCGACGACCAGAAATGGCGGAGGTCGACCGCGATTACCGTCTAGAGGCCCTTTAGCATCATTCCAATTCTAACGATTTCAATCTGTTCACTTTGTCGCGCAAACCAACTTGCTGGTGCGCATTCCTCTCTACTTGCGATCCTTGGTTTCCTTTCCACATCCACGATTTCCTACTGTTGTCAGTAGCAGTTGCTTCTTCCCTTCATCGCGTTCAAACATTGGTGAATCTGTTCGCCCAGTCGACTTCTGCAGTGTCTGAAAGGGACATGTCTTTGACCAGCTACATGGCCAACATGTCCCCTCTCAGAGGCTATATCACATCTTATCCTCCGCGTCTACGCCAATATGGAAACGCCTTACTTACTCCCGTAATCGCCCCGAGCCAGGCCGGTCCGGCGCCGCGAACCAAGCGAGGAACTGCGGCCATCAATTATGCAGAAGACGGCTTTGATGATGAGGACTTTGAAGACAGTGAAGGTCCTCGGCGTCCCACGGGGCTACGGAGTCTCCGACGAGAGGATTCAACTTTCGACAAGGTCCCCTTGGCCGAAAAACTGGGGAAAGAGGTACATGCTCCTGTGGAGGTTCAAGGGGTATTCCGTGACTGGATGATCAAGCGAATGTTGCGACCAGCGTATGTCCAAACCTCACACCTTTCCGTTACCCAGCTGGCCCTGTTGTTTGATTTGTGAAGATTTGTTTCTTTGCGAGCGCTAACTCTACTCTTCCCTTTGCGCCTTGTCCAGCTGTGCCGATCAATTACAGATCCAGGCGCAACTACCTCTCACCCTTATACCCATTCGAATTGACTTGGAGGTCCCAGCGCATCAACCTCTCGAAGCGTTTCCCCAGCCGCGAACCATGCTCGATCCTGGAATCACAACCACACTGCCTGCATACAGAAAGCAGGACCCATTACCAGCCTACCGAATCAAGGATACTTTTCTTTGGAACCTCCATGAAGCTCTCGCCACCCCCGAAGAATTCGCAATCGGATTTGTTCGCGACATGGACTTACCCAACCCACAGGCGATGACGATGGCCATCAGCAACCAAATACGCCAACAATTGGAAGAATACGCCGGCGTTGCCCTACATCCCTTGTTTCAAAGCGTACCAAGCAAACCAGCCGCTTTGCCGTCGGCCATGTCAAGGGACGTGTCTGCTACACCCACTCTAACCTACGCCGCTACCCCCGACAGCAGAGCCAACCAGGTGACGGTGACGAAGGAACCGTTGATCAATGACAGTTTATTGAATCCCGACGACGCATACAGATGCATGATCAATCTGAACATCAACTTGCAGAACAAACTGTACACCGACAAATTCGAATGGTCACTCCTGCATCCTCCCGGCATGGCGGAGGAATTCGCTCGGATCACCTGCGCGGATCTAGGCCTCGGTGGAGAATGGGTGGGAACCATTGCCCATGGCATTTACGAGGCAGTACTCAAGCTGAAGAAAGAAGTGTGTGAAAGTGGCGGGCTGATCAGTAGCATGGGTGGCTACGGAAACGAGATTGACAACCAAGCGGCTAATGGGGCCGAGGCGGGCTGGCGATATGACCCTGAAGGACTGGGTGATGATTGGGAACCGAAGGTGGAAACACTGTCCAAGGAGGAAATTGAGAAGCGCGAGGGCGACCGTGAGCGGCAAATCAGACGTCTTCGGCGAGAGACTGCCAGATTCTCTTCAACGGCAGGCATCACCCCAGAAGCTTCTCGACAAGGAAGTGGCTATTTCGATGTCGACAGTGAAACTCCCTTGGGCAGAGGCGAGAGGAGCAAGCGCAAGAGGCGGTTCCGGAGTCTGAGCCCGGCTGGTAGGGGCGGAACGCCCGGAGGTCGAGGCACACCCGATACCGGGTCTGGTGCAGGTTACGGCGGAGGTGGTGGAACACTTTCGGAATGGTCTGTCGTCTCCCTCATCCTCATCATCTGCGATGCCATTGTGGTTGTCATATCACTAACACCCAATCGGCAGGGAGCGACAAAATTGGCGGTGCACGAATTGCTTGGTATGGGGTACGGCAGTCTGGGCTGTACGAGACGGACCGACGGGCCCAAGGGTAAGTCAGATGCATCTACTCTATTGACTCTGATTGCGCACCCCAGCTGACCTGCATTGATTGCTAGACGCTCTGTCACAATTGTGGGTTGCTGTACGAACGGGATAAGATTGCGCCGGAGTGGTCAAGGGATCTGCATCGTCATGATATGCCAATTGGACGGTAGTATCTGGGGGGGTTTTTTTTAGCATGAGGTGAATATGACAGAATCAGTCCAGAGAGATGAATCACCTGACGGGGGATGAATTCATGATGAGGAACCGATTAATATATCTAATATAACAAAGAGCATAAAAACCTCTGGCGAATCAAGTTGTCCATATTTGACCACGCACAAGAATTCCCATCAAGGCAACCCAGTCCCCCTCTACTGACCCGCACCATCCAGTCCCTTGGTGATGGTATTTACATACTCTGCAGCGTCCATCCCCAACTTGGCCAGGTCCACCCCGCCCTGCCCAGCCATGGCGCGCGACATGGCACGGACCACTTCCTCTTCCTCCCAGATCGAGGCTGGTGCCGCCGAAGAGGCAGCCGGCGGCGCGCCCGGCCCATCTTCCCTCACCACCTGCCGCGACCCCTCCCGGAGCGCCGCCGGGTTGTCCACATCCAGCGCGACCACCGTCCGCCAGTAGGCATCATCGCGATCCTTGAGCACCCTGTCGCGCACCACCGTGTTGCGGGTGACGCTTAGGGCGTGCAGTTTGGACGTGGCACCGCCGAGCGCGGACAGCGCGGCCGACACGAGCTGGCCGACCTGCTCGGCCTGGGACGGCGGCGCGTAGAAGAACCGGCGGGTGGCGGAGAGGTAGATCAGCAGGGCGGCGATGCCATCCACGACGGCGAGGGCCAGGGGCCGCAGCAGACCCAGCTGGTAATATGCGGCGGGGGGCACGGTGACGGACCCGGCGCGCACGGCGGCGGGCCCCGTCTGCACGGGGTCGTAGCCGAAGGCCAGGTACAGGTCCAGCAGGGCCAGGGCGCCGCCGGCGAGCGTGAACGTGTTGCGCCATCGGCTGGCGTCCGGGCCCGTGAGGGGCCGGGCGGTGACGGCGCCCAGGAGGGCCATGTGGCCCAGATGCGGGAGCAGCACGTGCCACGGCAGGTAGTAGAGGATGTAGGTGGTCGGGTGGTCGAGCGAGCAGAACTGGCAGCGGGCCAGGGCGTCCGGGCCGAAGCGGAGGTAGAGCTTGCGCGCCGGCAGCGAGGTGAGCCGGGCTTTGAGGAGGAGGTCGGTCGCGGTCAGGGTGTTGGCGGGCCGCAGGCGGGCCAGCCGCGCGAACAGCACGTCGCTGGCGGTGTTGATGCGCGAGTGCGTGAGTGTGAAGATGCTCGGCGGCGGGGCCCGCGGGCTGAAGGGGAGGCTGAGCAGGAGGAAGAAGGTGATGGCGAAGAAGAGGAGGTTCAGGGCGCGCGCGGCATCGTGCGGCACGGGGCGAGGAGGGGGCCTGGTCGCTATCGAGACGCGCAGGCTGCGGTACAGGTTGATGGCTCGCGGGATTATGATGGGCGCAAAGAAGATGAGGAATGACTTGATGCTGTTGGAGCCGGAATTCGGGTTATTGGATTGTTTGACAATATGAAAGGGGAGGGAAGTGATACATACGTTGCAAACGAGATCCCGAGTTCAACCATCTTGTCAATGTCTTGTGTAGTCAGGGGGGAGTTGTTGTCGCATCGAGCGGACAATCACTTGCTCTCTTTCTTTTAAAGCAGATGCGATGCACAGTGCAGATGATAGTGTTCCAGGTGGCCTTAAAGTGCCTGGCTGGAGGCGATCAGATCGCCCGCCGGCGCCAAGCGGTAGTGCCTGCGATCCGCCAATCAAGAGGGACCGCTAACTAACTCTAGAGTGAAAATGATAAACACTGGCAGGGCTGCGAAGTTTACTTGCTATCATGGATCGGTACGGTGGATATTTGAGTGTTATACTTACGGCGATCAATGATGGCTTCCTACTTCGATATTGCATACATAAATCTTTAAGGTTCTGATAAGGAAAAAAAAAGAAGTGGAATTGGATATCTCTTAGCCGCTACATATACCAACGCCATTGTGTATGCTCCACTCAACCAGAAAGCACCGGTCTCCTACTGCCAACAAGTTATCCTACCTAGTGGCTGATGCAGTGTCCTATATGCGCCCCCCTTGCATTGCTGGATGATGCGAAAGATCTGGAATTGTGACTCCAGCCGAGTCTCGCGAATATTTGGACGATGCCGCGTCGCTGATATTCATCGGATTAAGTGGCGAGGAAATCTTGAGTGGAAAGCGAGTGCTGTTCCGTTGAGACATGTGTCTCCGCACCGAGCTCTGCGGGCTGTATGTTGGCAGAGATTCCTCCCGCTTAATGCTCAGCTGGAATGACCGTTGGCTTCCAGCTCGCGATACCACTTTCTGGGGCGCCACTGCCCCATAGAGGCGGACATGTCGTGCACTGACTCCGATGTCACAGTCAGAGAACACGAAGCTCTATTAGAGATGGAATTGTTAGCAGCTATGTCAGACTCAGGGTTGTAGGAGCAGGCTTACCGCAGCCACGTTGACCACGCTCATGATCATGGATAATATACCAGCGGAGAGGACGAGGCGCCAAAACGGCATGCCCAGTGATTCCTGGCTTGTCGCCTTCGTGTTGAGGTCGCCCAACACACCCACTCCCAGTACCAGCATTGCGATTGCCAAAGTAATGAAGCCCGACTCCTGCCCTAGTAAAGGCCAATTGCGGTCAAAGTAGGCGCGCAAGATGGGGAGCTCGGAAATGATGAGGAAGACTGGTCACCGGGCAAATCAGCAACTTTGCGCTCGAAAACAAGGCAATAACGGAAATAGAATCGAGACCAAGTACTTACTGCTGACTCCGGCCGTAGCCACACGAGAGACTGCCTCGAAGAAGAAAAAGCTGGTCAACAGCGAGATCTTCACCAGCATCACTGCACTAGCAGCGATGATGTCAAGAAAGACGATTATATTGATGACGCGAATGGCATTGAGAATCACATATCCTGGGCCCGCCAAGGATTCTTGCAGTGAGGCCATCATGATCTGGTCAAAGGTTAAGAAAAGAAGATAAATCTCAGGCTCTAGCCGAGAAGCTTGATCAAGTCTGTGCCAGCCAAGTGTGCATGAATTATGTATGGGTGCTATAGTCTTCTCCAAAAGCGAAACTGGAACCACTGAGAAGAAAAGATACTTGAACGAGAAAGCCAAGTCAAGGGAAGAAAGGAAATAAAGACTGGGCCCGCAGCCGGAGATTATCTGGTGGGAGTCAGTTGGAAGAAAGAGAGGAGGACCACGAGGTCGACGAGGGTGTTAAAGAGAGCCAGGAGTCTCTGGCTGGAGATCTGACGGTGTCGGTAGTGACTGCTTGGTGTTGCTATGGGTAGCTCAGCCCTGAGACAGGCAGGTATAGGGCAACCATTGAATGAGGCTTCCATAAGGAGGGCAACAAAGACAATAATAGATACAATGGGTGAAGGACGGGGAACCCTGAAACACTCTCACAAAGCCTTTGGAAAGATCAGAGCCACTCATCTCAATCAGTTGGATTTCTTCTTGCTTATTTGGGTGGGAATTGGCGCCTAATTGAATGAAATGGAGATGTTCACGCTCTTCGTGGAGGAGGGGCCTTCCTTGTGCGGCTTTGGGCGTCCAAAGGAGTCTGACCCCCAGCGCTTATGGTGCTGATATGGAATGAGAAGAAAGCTTTCATGTTGTTATGTGCGGCTGTAGACAGCCCCTTGGGTGAGGATGGCGCTTCTAATCGGTGGAGGATTAGATGGTCAGTCAGATAGGATGGGCGCTCCCGAGGTGAGGTCTTGAAACGAGCTATGTATAAGCCAATGGATGGGTTGATGAATTAAGCGCCCACCCTGCAGAAATCTGTTAAATTGTTAATAACACCCTCCGGAGGGTTGACTGGTTCCCTCCTGTTATAGAGTTGAGCACTACTATGCACGTGTGAGGAATGATCAAAGTGGGTTGATGTATTAATGGGTAGTTGCAGCTTTCATGCTTCTTCGAGTGCCCAAGCCATCTGTCATATTCATGTACAGATACACACCAGAAGGGCATTGGAGAGAACGAAAATGATGACCAGGTGGAAGTAATCCGAGGTACTCCGTATCCACCAAGTCCTTCCCAGAAGACTGGGGCGGAGGCTAGGCCGGCAGGCCGCAGCAACCCCGTAAAACGAGGGGCGTGGAGAGGCAGAGAGACCGAGAGAGAGAAAGAGAGAGAAAGAGAACCTTCCATACAACTTAAAAAAGAGGAAAACTTTTCCTTCCACAAGGCAAAGCCACCCTCCTGTTTCTTCGGCACCCCAACCAACAGAACCGTACTGTTGGCAGCCCGCTGCACTTTTCTTTCTTTTCTTCTCTGTCTTTCTTTTAAAGTGATACACGGTTTGAAATCATCCGATCGATATCATCACCATGACTCGTGGCAACCAGAGAGATCGCGATCGCGCGAAGAACAACAAGGAGCAGTCCAAGAAGGTGAGCGTCTTTCCATTGCATGAGTGTATCGTCTCTGAAACTAACAATAGTTCTTTCTAGAAATCCAAGAACGAGCTTACTGGTACGGAGTTCCAGCGGAAGAAGGAGAGCGATGCTGCCAAAATGCAGGCCAAGCAGAAAGCAGGTAAGATAATTTCAACTGACCCCTGACAGAGAATGTCGGCCTCCAGATCCTTTGCACTCGATTCCACTGACGCATTCTACTTCGTTTTACAGCCGATGAGCGCCGAGCAGCCGAAGCACTTGCAGCGGCGAAGAAAAAATAACACTTCCCCCATTCTCCTCGATAGAACTCTCCCGGTTTTGTCCTCCCAGCCTGTCCGCCACTTCGTCGCCTCGCAGTCCGGGCACCGAGTACCTCGCCTATATATCCTTCCCAGATCATGCTTTTTGACACCCCTGTTTTGGCTATAACTCTTCGGGTCCGTGCACAATTCATGAGTTGGTCTGCCTGTGAGGCGCACGGCTATGATAGATCGCTTGCGACTATTTCGCACGGCCTCGGGCTTTTTCAACGTGATATGGAGACAACAGTATTCGTTTGGAAGCATGTTATGAGGACATGATAGCTAGCGAGGATTTCATTTAAGTTGGTCACATTTAGCGTTTTCAAGAGGCTACCGCACAAGTCATGCAACATCCTCATGGTCCACATGTATAGGTGTATGATGCGACGAGGTACGCATACTCCATGTCCAAGAGCACGCACGACCCGTTGTTGGAGCCTACAACCCTGTGCCTCTCTATCTGAACGGCTGACCATTGTCCTAATTGACCACTGGGCCAGCAGCCCAGACAGCCCTGGCCCAATCCAGCCAGACCTTCCAACCACCATTCGACCTCGTTCTTGGTAGCGGATGTTTCGCCAACGCATCCCACTGAGACGCCCATTGCCCATCCTTAGTCAAACAATCGCCATCTAAGTTGATTGACGCTGAGTACACAAATATCCACAGACTCTCGCCCTCCCAACCGATATCCAGGGCGAACTGTATCACCTGACGCACTGCGTCACTGCGGATCTCATATTGGGGGATTCTTTCGAGTAAGAACTCAGTAAATGCCCATCCAGATATGTCGGCAGGGTGGGCTATACACCACTGCAGGGCTTTCTGTATCATAGATTCAGCCAGTAGCGTAGAGGCATCTTGACCACCATCACCTGTACCCGACGCGGCACCAACGACCTCCCTTAAATAAGTAAAGGCGTAGTAATTTCGAGGGTGGAGTTCTCCAGCCCGAAGAACTATGGCCAGTTCGTCATTCAAAATCCCTAGGATCACTTCGTGCGAGGACTCATCCGGCTGCTTCAAGGGCCGCCGTTGAAGGCGCATCAAGCGAGTCAGGAGCCATAAGCGATAACTCCACAATGTCGGGGATTTGGTGTGTCGATGCAATGGAGAGCAGAGGAAGGTCTTGGTCAACGAGAGTTCCTTGCTCAAAGCATCGATGAGCGACCGATGACGCTCATTGTCAGAATCAGCGGGATCGTGGCGTTGGAGAGAAGCAGTCAGGCGTCTTCTGCGCCAGTTGCATGCCGTCAAATGCTCGCAGTCAAAAAGGAGAATGATCTCTGTGGACACAAGGAGGAGTTCATCCGAAGGGGAATTCCAGTGCCCAGGTTGAGAGGGAATGTTCTCATGTCCAGGCCCATCGAGGGACTTCCCGTTCAAAGCGCCGAAGAAATTGCGTCTTGCTGTGACGAACGCCTGGACTAGGTAATTCTTGGCGATGCCAACCGAGGTACCATCCTGTAGGAGGGGACCTAGACCAGGAGGAAGTATCTCGATCTCGAGAACCTCGTTGTTTTGGTATCTAGCTGAAAGGATCTGGGCGAGGTCATGAAATGCGGCTTCATGATTTGAAGGAGGGGACATTGGGCATCATCCAGCCTACTGCATAGCGGCCATCAAAAGAAAGAGAAAGCCCGTAGTCTTCCACCAGTCGGTACGCAGCAGAAAGTACTAGGTAGGTAGTCTACCTAGTCAATTGGGTGATTGAAGAGCCGATGTGTATGGACCGGAGACTGAAGAAATGCCGCAGCCGACGGGCGGGTTGAGAAACGTGACAACGTCATTCCGATTTCCCTTCCGCAGGCTTGAGGGTCAACTTTTGTTCTCGATCTGCTTCCGTGTGACTCTGGACATTTTTGGCTACATCTCTCTGACTTATCATTTACGACCCGAATCCGGTTGGAAAACCTGCGCCGCATTGCATACGCGCACTCAACACGGTCGCAGTTTTGTGGGCTTGCTGTCCACTTTCCACCGAGACTTCCCCTCTCCTCCATTGTCAACAACCATAGCACCCGATCCATCATGTTGCCTCTTGTGGGGATTGTGCTTTTCGTTCACATTGCCATCTACCTTGTGAACACCGTCGGTGCGACCACGATTGACAACCTAGTACGTTGACCTCGGGAATTACCTTCAATGGTTCCCTTGACTACGATCCACCTATACGAGAACATATGTCCTAAAATGATATGATTACGTCTAGTTATGGCTTCTCTACCTGAGACTCCCGACCCCAACATCTAGGAAGTTCCGCGAGCAAAACCGTCTGAAGCGCGAAGTTGTCCAACTGAAACGGGACATGAACAACACCAGCTCGCAAGACGAGTTTGCGAAATGGGCCAAGCTACGAAGACGACACGACAAAACGATGGAGGAATATGAAGCCATGAGTACGTTCTCCGAGCAAAATCGCCTACTATTTTCTTCTTCTTCTTCTTCTTCTTCTTCTTCTTCTTCTGCAGTGTCGTAGCAGAGCCATGGAGGGGAGTGATGCACGCACCCACGCACCCACGCACCCACGCACCCACGCAAGCTATTTGTGAAGCCCTTAAGCTGACACATTTATGTCTTTACCAAACAATTCAGATAAGGAGCTCGCGTCGCAGAAATCATCTTTCGATTGGGGCGTGAAAGCCGTCCGCTGGGTCGGTACAAGTGGCATCAAGTTCTTCCTGCAATTCTGGTACTCGAAAACGCCCGTCTTCATGCTGCCGGAGGGTTGGGTCCCGTACTACGTGGCCTGGATTCTGTCGTTCCCCCGCGCGCCTTTCGGGTCCGTGAGCATCCAGGTTTGGAGTAATGTTTGTGCCACGGCGATCACCACTCTGGCCGAGATTGTTACGGCATTGCTGTTGCAAACGGATAACGGAGCGGCGGAGCCTGTTCCTGCTGGTGCTAGTGCCGAGGAGAAGAAAGGGCAATGAAGGACACGAAGACGACGGGGGAGAAAGGGGTTGTCTTAAGAGAGACTACTGGATGAGCACAAAGGACAATTGTATAAAATAGAATGACGGTGATGATAATGGCTCTCATTATTTCTCACATTTGGCAAATATTGAACTCGGATTCGAGTGTATCCTCATGATATTATGTGATTATTATAAGAGAGTAAAAAATCTCAAATGAACTAGGTAATGCGACAATAATATCAAATGCTCATCAGATATGAAAACAATCGTTTATCGTCAATAACTCCTATACCGTAGTACGGAATCTCAGGGCTTGACTCTATGATTGGTATATCATCACACGAACAGAGAAAAAAATGTGCATGAGTCCGACTCCTTCGACAGAGCATCTGTGATCCTGCGTAATCACCGCTTTCCATAAGCTACAGACTCGTTGGGGAGAAAATGAAAAAAAAAGCATAGATGAACTCCTCGCCTCAAGAATGAGCCCCATTGAGTTAACCACCACCAAACCCCAAAAGGGTTCGGTCGTGAGCAATCGCATGACTATCCAAACACGACGAAAGGCAACCCAGATCAAAGCCCCTCTCCAGCACAAGCCCGTACCGCCATTGTTTCCGCCGAGAGAGGGTAGGACCTCTTCCGACGTCGGATACGAATGCGAGCATTGGGAGGGAACAGGGCAATAAGCCGCTATCGAATTGCTTCTATGGCGGCGCGTTTCCGCATTGCCTGACTGGGCCCACAAGGGACGATTTAAACAGTCAGGGTGTCCGGGGACTTTCCCAAAAGCTGGTTGAAGAGAATTCCCCGGGGGGGTTTCTCTGTGTGTGAGCTTCGAATGCGATTCTTTGAGCGAGGAGTTGGAAGAAAGAAAGAGAGAAAAGAAAATCAAATGGTAGAAATGCCGTAGCTGCAAATTTATGCGAGGTTAGTCAGTGGGCCCGGCTAGACTGGTTACAGCCTAGTGTAAATCATGTGACTGTGGTGGGACCCTGTGGCCTCAGGCGGCCGACTGGTCGGAGGTGAATCTGCGAATCACAAGATCGAGACCCTTGGAATACTCCTGACTTCATATTGCATGCTGAGAAAGGCACCTGTGACTTGCATGGAGGTGGAGCGAACTTATACGGATATTCCTCTATTCATGCCTAGCGAATAATACAATGACCATGTACAATTGAAATCAATCAACTCCGAGCGATATTTTAAGCGATGAACAACACAACAATGACATTTTAGATAGAATGAAAGAATCAAGCGGTAGCCTTGGACTTGACCTTCTTGCCGGCCTTCTTAGCCTTCTTAGCGGCGGGTGAGGCTGCGGCTTCAGTCTTCTTCGTTGATGGCTTGGCGGTCTCTTGCACAGCAGGGGACTGAGCTGCCTTCTTCTCCTTCTTGTTGGTCTTCTTAGGGGTATCTTCAACGGCCTTCACTGCTTCGACCTCCTCGGTTTTAGGAGCCTCGATAGCCTTGCCAGGTTCCTCAGCTGTTGGCTCGTCGGCCTCGATAGCCTTGCGCTCTTGCACAGGAACTTCGTCCACGCTCTTCAGTTGAGGAAGCTCCAGATCATATCCCAGAATGCTCTTCAGCTGCTCTGCCTTGGCCGCCCGTTTTTGCTGCTCCTTTTCAATGCGATCCGACCACTGCTCTCTCGTCTTGCCCTGCTCAAGTCGCCTCTTCTCGATCTTGTTCCACGGGGTTCGCTTGAACCGTCTGTTGGCGCCCTTCCAGATCTCAGGGTGCAGACGCTCCTGTGGGACAAATTTACATTTCAGGAGGTGTTTGTACAGGAGGTAGTTGTCCATGGTAGCCGCAGCGACCTTAGCATCGGATTCCGAATCGAACTCGATGAAAGCGTAATGTTTAGAGCGACCGGTGGTACGGTTGCGGGAAAGACGCAGGCGGGTGACAGTACCGAATTGGTTGAAGTAGTCACGCATCTGGTGTTCGTAGAAACCGTGGGGAATACGTCTGAGAATAAGGCGGTTAGACGTGCGATGACAACAAGTAGCAGTACTTAGTACTCACCCAACATAGATCGTACCGGGCCCCTCTGACTGGTCGGCATTCTCTTGCTGCTTCCTCACCTTGCGCTGCGCCTTCTTCAAGTCAGGGATCTTGGGCAGGGGTTTACTCTGGTCGAAGCCCTCGTCGTCGGAGTCGGCCTCGTCACCGCTGCTCTCAAAGCCGCGGATCAGAGCAGTTGTGCGGTCGTCTTCTTCACCCTCACTCTGGCTTACATCCGAGGCGGCAGACTCATCCTCATCCTCAGAATCTTCTTCCACAACAGGCTCGACCTTCTTGGGTTTGGTGTTCGCTTTGGCAGCTTTTCCTTTCGTGGCAGCGGCGGCGGTCCCATCTGACTTCTTTGACTTCTTGGTGCTGGGTTTCTCCTTGCTAGCCTTGACCTCGGTAGACTTTGCCTCTGGCTCACTCTCCTCATTGTCACTGAGGAAGTCGGCGGCACGCTTACGGGGCTTGACCTGTCTAGCCGGCTCGCCGTTGACCTTCACTTTCGACGAAGTTTCGGCCTTGATAGGTGCCTCGGTCTTCTTGGCCTTCTTGAGAGCCGGCTTGGGAGTTTCCTTAGGAGGTTGAGCAGGTTTGGCGTCGACCTTCTTGGTCTTCTTTGCGGGCGAGTCGGCGGCAACGGCGTTGGCAGCTGTCAGTGGTCAGTCGCAGGGGATCAATTAACGCAACAAGCAGGGAAGAGAAAGATTACATACCCTTGCGCTTCTTGTCTTTCTTGTCCGGAGCCATCCTGTTGTGATCTGGCGTAGAAATGTAGGCTGGTGTTTAAAGCGCTACAATCGGCGGGCTTTGCGAAAAGGTGCGGGAAACTTTTTTTCTGCTCGCAATTTTTCCGCCGCCAAGCGGTGAGTTCGAGCCCGGCCGGCCGACCATCAGTGAATTTCACTCGGCGTGGCTGCCGCTGACTACTCCAGTCAGTCTATCTGTAGGGAGTCAGCCATCTTATCCTCATTTGTCCCCTCTCTTTGCTGCCTCTTATTCGATGCCATGGGAAAGTCTAAGAATGCCAATCGGCCACTGACACAAGAAGAGATCTGGGATGATTCTGCGCTGGTCCAGAGTTGGGATGAAGCTGTCGAGGAATACAAAGTATGAGCTCCTCTGTTGGGGGCACGTGATCCAAATGCTAACGACGACCACGACAGCTCTATCACAGCATCCAGGCAAGAGGAGAGAATGTAGATGATGTACTGAGAGAGGCGGAGGCTGAAGCGGGCTCTCAGGATGTCTTACCAGCGCAAGAATCGGATGAAGCGGTTGATAGCATGGATCATGACGCCGAACCGCCGTCTGTAGTTGATGCAACTCCTGCTGAAGCAAAAGTCACTGTCGGTTCTCAACAGGCCCCTACTCTTCAGACCTCGAAGGTAAGTCTAAAACACCGTCTTCTGGACTGCATATGCTCACTTCTTTCAGACAACAGGGCAGACATCCGCGGCTGCAAATCCAACAATTGCGCCCACTGGCCAAGGCTTCACTCCTGCAGGAGCAGTGCCTCCGCCTCATGCCGCTCTAGCACAAGGTAAGGCTCTTGTGGTACTCAAGTCAGGGCCGGTAGCAAGGTACTGACGCCGGCGAATAGTGCAAGATGAAGGCTTGAAGAATCTCATGATGGCCTGGTATTATGCTGGATACTATACCGGTCTCTATGAAGGGCAGCAGCGAGCAAATCAAAATCAAGGTTCCTGAACAAACCTGTGGCTTTACTGCATGGCCCTACTATATACCCAGAGCTATCATGTTGCCCATGCATGGGTTGCAATCACGGAAATCGCCCATAAGCGAATGTTTGCCTATTGACTCGCACGGAGTATTTCTGCATAGCCGACATTTTCGTCTCATAGCACTGAATTCTTATTTCTTTTTGCGGACTAACTATCCTATCGAGTATTTTATGGATACCAACTCGCGCGACTAAACGAGCTCCACCAAGCAAACCCAAAACCAAAGTGGGAAAATTCACAATTATCATGCCTCATACATAGCACCGTAACAACAAAGACTTTAACACCAAAGCTTGGGTTTCCCGGCAGTTGCCTATGCCGGCACAGGGGCGAGCACCCTCGGGGCATCACAGACCGGGGAGACCACCGCCGCTCAGCAGACCGCCGACAAGGGGTAATTTCGCAAAAGGGTTGTCGTTCACGATGTGAGTCTTGCTAGGCTTGGGAGACTGGGCGGCAGCGCTGGCAGCAGGAGTCGCCTCAGTGGGAGTAGTGGAAGAAGGACTCGTGTTCGCATCCTCCATCGGAGCGTTCTGGTTCTCAGTCTTGTCGGCGGTTGCGGAAGAGGCATCGTTGGACTTGTCGTTCGCCTCCTGGGTTTCCTTGTATTTCTCAATCATCTCCTCCATCATCTTGGTGGCGGACTTGAGTCAAATATTAGCATACGCCGTCGAAGCCAAATCTAGGGCTGGATCTTTACCTCGATCCCCTGCATAGCGTAGTCGCTTTCATTGGCGACATCGTCGCGCTTGACAGGCATGGCGGACGCCATCAAAGCCATGAAAAGGCAGAGCACAAGGACGGAGAGGCTGAAGCGGGCCATTGCGATTTGCCAAGATCAAAAAAATATTGGGGGTTTGAAAGTTAAAGAGTGGACAGGCGTACTAGACGAGGTGATCTATAGCCAAGGTTGACAAACAATGAATTGGAAAGGAAAGAAGAAAGAGAGAAAGACCTCCGAACGACGACTGTAAAACTGAATCCGAATACTTGCCTGGTTTTCTACAGGGAGGAGAGATGAAGTCAAGATTTATAACTGGCATCTTGCCAGGGCCTTCCAACTAGGAGTGAGGGCGATCATAGGGAGTGCGGCCACTCGCGCCTCCTCAAAGCATTGGAATTGAAGATCCGAGTTTCTATTGTCACCCTCTCAAGACTCGACGCCCCTCCCTCCCCGTGCGACAATGCACCAGCACCTCGCGGCAAGCCAGTCATGGTTCTGTACCTTGATTGCAGGAATGCAAGGGGCGGGCACACCATCAGTAAGTTACCATTGATCCACGCCACCGCAGCCTCCTGCCGCCTTGGTTCAGCCAGGCACCGCGCCCTGTGAAGCTTATTATCAGTCAATTGAGTACGTACTGTACATTCCAAGCGGGATACTGATCCTGGCCATGATTGCCCTAGGAATTGCACGACATAACCACCTCCCTCGATCGAATCTTAAGGGATGGTTTTGTTCCACAAGGATGGCCCGGTTGCTGACTCGCTCCGTAGCGCATACCTGATAACTAATGGTTGCAACGCGCACCGCACCCTCTCTTCCCTCCATCAGGGATGGCTGGCAGACTTCAGGTCTGATGTTGAACTGTTCTACAAGCTTGCATTCCGCCAGCGCGAGCCAACGGAACAGGACCACTTATAACAATTCTACGGGTTTGAATGTACCTCCCTGCTTTGACACGTACCGCCCCATTTCAGATTGACAGCGGACGCAACACGAGGGAGAAAGAAAATTGGACAAGAGAGTCCAGGGGGTTCAATTTTGGCACAAATTTGACCTCGAATATCATGGAGAGTATGACGGACGAGACTTCGAAAGTGCCTTTTGCAGTCTAAGCTACGTGTCGATATATCCTGTAGGTTAGTGCGCACAGAACGAAAAATAAGAAAGGTTGAGCAAGAGAGCATGGCTTGACACAGGCGAATCGAGGAAAATCATCTTTTTCCAGGATCCGAGCTAGTTTCAAGCTCTCATACCACGCAAGACTTGTTGCAACATCCAACTCTATAAGAGATAAGAGTTGTTGGATATGCGAAGGCATGGAAACGATGTAACGGGTTTTTCAAACAAGGGATGTGTGCTCAAAAGCGAACCCAACTACAGCGTGATGAGATGGCTAGACCAACCCTGCGCCACGTGATGGGATTAGAACGAGCATGCGAAAAGTTCGCTCTTGGTCTCGAAGCTAAAATTTGCAAACAGAACGTGCCAAAGGGCATCTATCCGCAAGGGTATGTTGGAGACCTGGTATGATAAAAGAAGAAGGAAAATGGTTGAGCTGTGAAGATGCGCGAAAATTTAAGCAGCGCGGTGGACCGCACCCGCTTATGTCAGCTACGCGCGTGCGCGCGCGGCGCAACGTGCTGCCGAGAGGATCGCGGTTACACACAAGGGCATGGCATGAACTTGAGACTTGAGAGGAACTTGAGAAAGTGCATCAGTCGATACCAATAGTCCAATGACTTAGCTTTACAGCTTGTACTGTACTACATATCCACAATGCTATAATCTACCCCCAGTGCCCACAGTTGCCCTATACACATCCTTCGAGCTAGAAGCGTTAGAACCGCGCCAGCACCCGGTCCTGCGTGTCGGCCAACGCCCACTTGTCCCTATGTTTCCGACTCTGGACTGATCGAGCTTGCTCTGCTGTGAAGCCCTTGGCTTCTACAGCCGGGTTGTACCCAAGCCCCGTGATCTTTGCCACTGTCTTTGATGGTACTGGTGTTGCGGCCTTGCCATCTGCTCGCTTGTATACGGTGACCACGACGGCACCTCCCAACCCCAGGTTGTGCTGAAGGGCGACATCTGTGCCGTCAACCAAGCGATTGTTGGCCCAGCCACGCAGGTGCCAAACAAGCTCTGCACATTGCGCCAAGCCCGTTGCCCCCAATGGATGACCCTTGGAGATAAGGCCTCCAGAAGGGTTAATGACCATCTTTCCACCATATGTGATGTCGCCTTGTCGCACCATTTCGTGCGCCTTTCCCGGCTCACACAGCTCTAGTGCATCGATGGTGATCATCTCGTTGGCAGAAAAGCAGTCGTGTAGCTCGCACACCTTGATATCCTTAACGTTCACTCCCGCCTCAGCTGCTGCAGCTCGGCACGCATTGCGAGCCATGCCGAATCCCATCAAGTCAATAGAGCTGCGATCATACACGGAGCTGTGATCAGTGGCGAGCGTCTGACCCGCAATCAGGATTGCTTGGTCTTTCAGGTGGGGACGCGCCTCAAGGAAGGCTTGGGAGACGACCACAGCAGCGGCCGCGCCATCAGATGTTGGACAGCATTGCAGCTTCGTCAGAGGTGCGTGGATCATCGGCGACTTAAGGATCTGGTCAAGAGTATATTCGTCCTGAAATTGGGAGTATGGATTGCGCTTAGAATGCTCGTGGTTAATCCGCGCGATGTTGGCAAAGTCTTTGGCTTCAGCACCATACCTGCATGTGACGATTTAGTTCATTCCTTTCAACTTAGCAGCGATCGGTTCCAGACCACACACTTACTTCTCCATATACTCGCGACCAGCGTTGCCGAACATCTGTGCTGCACCTGGGGCATTCGTGACTCCTCTAGTCTCGGCCATCATTTTGCCGAACAGGCCGGTCGGGTTCGCGCGATCGCTGTAGACCGACTGGAGACTACCGGGACTCATCTTCTCAAAGCCAACAACCAGGATGCAGTCTGCGGCCCCGTGAGAGACCAGCGTTCGGGCCATAGCTAAACCTGTAGACCCTGTGGAACAGTTGTTATTGACATTGTAGATGGGAACCTGCGTGAGTCCAAATTGATAAAAGACGCGCTGCCCGCAGGTACTATCTCCGTACACGTAGCATGCAACCCCTTGCTCGACCTCGTCATAGTTGATGTGGGCATCCAGCATAGCCTTGACCCCAGCTTCAAAACCCAGCTCTTGATAATCAACCTTGCCACGCGGTTTTATGAACTTGGTCATGCCAACGCCCAGAACGTAGGCGGGACCTGAAGGCTTCTTGCCCATGTTGATCGGTCGGAGAACGAAATGGGGGGAATTCTTTGGCTTGCGATCCGATTCCAGTCAGCGCGAATTGAACCTAACATATGTGTCAAGAGATACTCTGCTGGAAGTTGGTTGACTTGAGCGACGCGAGATTCAGGAGGTAGTATGGCAGGCGTAGTTATGTGTTTTGATGGTGGTAGTGCAAACATCAAGTGGTCCGATGCGGAGTAACGCTCCTTTTTGCGGGGAAACCGCCTACGGGACCGAGGTCCCGAGGGTAAGCCCCCCAAGCCCCCTTCCCCACTTACCTTACCTTGCATGAGGATTAAACAATAATGATTGAGTTTATGATTGAAATCTCCTATTTTCGTATCGCAGAACACATTGGCGAGATTTCTGGTTCTTTATGAATGTTCAGTATTTGGATCCTGTCACACCTGAGAATGGATCATATCATGCACGAGCCCAGGACATAAAGATTGAGCATATATATACCTATAAACTGTACAGTACTTGTGGAACCCCGAACTGAGGATCTCGCATAATATATGATGAAAACAGACCCTGGCTGCTAAGACTGGTGCTACCATGAAATCCGCAGTCAACCCACTGGGCCAACTCCCTGTCTACTTCTACTTTGGGTATCGAGTAGCCTGACCGTGGACCACGCTCCTCTTCCCCGTTGTCTTGTTTCCTCGAGATGCATTGCGGTACGAAGCACGGGAGTCGCCCACCAATTAGCATCGACACAAATCGAGTGACCATAGCGTTGCTTTCAATAATTGATTGCTACAGAATCCTGATCCATGATCCCAAGGGTGTGTGCACCTCTCCGTGGATCGACAATGCCAACCAAGTCTCGGAGAGATGATTCGTTCAATCAAGACAGTGAAGTGATCAGAGGTATCACCACCAAGACTTTGTCTTGCCTAAAGAGCCAATGATGATCGTGGAGTCCTCGATGCTGGTATTTTGACCGACCCAGCACAAGATAAATTACGACACCAGTGCCACGGCCCAAGCAAGAGCTTCCATGGTTGAGTAGCGATCATCTTATCTGCGCGCGCATGTTCGAAGGCCCACAGTCTACCATCAGCCCGTTGCTGGCGATCTGAGCCAAGCTTTCGATAAAGAGTGCCGAGTCATGAAGTGAGGGAAAGGGTCATCAGGGAAGCATGGTGGTGATCGTTTATGTGGTTAACTTGCATGTGAAGCTTGTAAGTTATGCTTGTCGCGACAAAAAGAGGAGAGGTGGGAGGTGGGGGAAATTATTCAACACCTCGATGTGGCACACCACATACCCCAGAGAGGACTTGACTTGCCTGCCCAGTTCTTGCCACATGTTTTGAATGTGGGCTGAAGACCGCTCGCTCTACTTGCTCTTACACTATTGTACATATCTTACTCGAGTATATACGAGTAATCCACATGTAGCAGTAAACTCCGGCAGAACAACCGACTGGCATGTTTTGCATCCGTATTAGGCAAGGACCACAGGACTAGAATCATCAACCATCAGATCCCGACTGGTAGCTTGCAGTGTGGTTCAGCCAGGGCGGGGTAGAGTCATTGATGGACTGATTGATTGATTGATCGATCGATTTATTCTTATTGCCCTCGATGCCGTAGACGATCCGTCCGGGCGGCGGGTGCAACCACCGCAACCACCGCAACCACCGCAACCACCGACCGGACTGGTTTGGTCCGCTGCAGCTCCCTTTCCTTCTTTGCCACATCGCTCAGTGTTCAAAGTCTGTCATATTTTGCATCCTGAGTATGTGTATTGGATGGGCTTATAGCGGGGGGTTGTCTAATGAGGGATAAACACTTCCCGCTCGGTTAAACATTTCGCAGAGAAATATGTAGACTATCAACTATCAACGGACCCACAAGAGGCTACTACTCGATTACTATCGTTTGGCTAAGCAAACAGATGGAAACAGAGGCACACCAGTCAATTGGATGGGTAATCCCATCTTCTCAACCGTTTCTCCGTTGAACGGATGCAGAAACAACCTCTAGGGAGTAGGTTAGTCTACCTAGTATATTTTGACGCTTTTGCAAAGTTGCACTGGATGCCTCACGACGACGTCACTGGACGGGGACCCCACTAAGCCTGTTCAAAGTGGCCGGCCACTACTGCAGTGACTGAGTGATCCAGTGATTCAATGATCCACTGGGTACTCCGTACTAGGTAGGTAGTCATCCTCCAGTGAGTGGCTTCCCACCCACACCTCTACAGTCCACAATAATGAATTAATGATCAATCCATGCTCT